GATATTGGATAGGATCATTGGCCCTGTCAGGATTGAATATTGGATATGATCAATGGTCCTGACGGGAATTGATATTGGATATGCTCATTGGTCTTTGTCAGGAATGTGTATTGGATATGATCATTGGTCCTGTCAGGAATGAATATGATATAGTATCATTGGTCCTGTCAGGAATGAATATTGTATTTAATCATTGGTCCTGTCAGGAATGGATATTAGAAATGATCATTGGTTTTGTCAGGAATGTATATTGGATATGGTGATTGGTCCTGTCAGGAATGAATATTGGATATGATCATTGGTTTTGTCAGGAATGTATTGGATATGGTCATTGGCCTTGTCAGGAATGTATATTGGATTTGATCATTGGTCCTGTCAGGAATGTATATTGGAAATGATCATTGGTCCTGTCAGGAATGGATATTGGATACGATCATTGGTCCTGTCAGGAATGAATATCGGATATGTGCATAGGTCCTTTCAGGAATGGATATTGGATAGGATCATTGGTCCTGTCAGGAATTAATATCGGATTTGTGCATTGGTCCTGTCAGGAATGGATATTGGATAGGGTCATTGGTCCTGTCAGGAATGAATATCGGATATGTTCATTGGTCCTGTCAGGAATGTATATTGGATATGATAAATGTTTAAAATTAAATCCTAGAATGTAGAAGGTTTCTTTTATCAAATTATGTCGTTTTTGCCATTTGACTTTGCTATTTATCCAGATCAGATACCCCCCCTCTTTTGGGAATTGTATTTAAGCGTGTCAGAGACGAAATAATGATTAAATTGATCTTCGATAGCTTGTTACATGGTAGTGTGTACTGCATGAATGTGTTTAGTGACAATGTCTGGTTATAAATATGCACGACAATTAAGCTTTTCAAATTGTGGCCTAACTTTCTTTTCTGAATAAAATCTAAATTTTGTGCAAGTTCGGGACACATGTTCCAAATCCCCCCCCCCCCTATATTTTAGTATTCTGCTGTTTTATCCCCCCTCCTATATTGAAGTATTCTGCTGTTTAATGAAGTAAAATTTCAAATTGTGAATTTCTGAATTATACAGATAATTATTTTTATTAATTAACTGCACCCATGCAGTTAAAATATTTGACGTCAATGAATTAGATTTTTTTAATCATTAATTAGGACTTAAAAAAATAGAAAAAAATTCTAATTTTAAATGAGACGAAATTCACATTCTCCATGCGGTGTATTGAAGTGTTAAATACATTATGCAAAATTTTAAATAATGCAGTTTTCTGGACCCAGGCAGACCAGGGGGCGGAAACGTCATGTGTGTGTGTCTGTACCAAAAGAGTGTGCGTGTGTGATAAGGAACCGAATAGATGTACTGTCGGTGTATACAGTACAGAAGAATCTCGGTAATTGTACAGTTTAGGAGAATACATTTGTTTATTGTTAATTGTTTACTTAAAAATAAGTTTAATATGCGTGTAATATATTATTTATAATTAAGTCAATACTAGAAGCCAAATTTTCATGCAAAGAATATAATTTGATTAAAGCTTACAATAAACTACTCGTTATTCAAGCTTAATTATAATTGACGACATTGTTCTGCACCTTCCTTGACTGCAAGTCATGTGTGTGTGTCTGTACCAAAAGAGTGTGCGTGTGTGATAAGCATAGAGAATAGAATATATATTAGAGGGGAATTTGAAGAATCTCTCGGTATGAATTTTTTCAGTCCCTTTCAGCCTGAAAGGGAGTTCAAAGTGTACAAATCATGTAAATGTTCACAAATTATATGCAGTAGAGTACATTAATACAGTATGTTCCCTAGACTATCCATTTCAATTTCGAATTTTTTAAACTGTTAAATAAACTTTATAATGAATTAGGTGAATAAAAAACATCATTTGATTTATAGTTATAACGGAAAATCATCGTTTGTAAAGTGAAAGGCATAGAGTCTATGTGAAACGATCATTGGTCAATTATGAAACCAGCCTATTTCATAATTTGGTTTTCTTTTAACATTAATTTTAGATTTTCTATAAAATGATATTCCAGGACCCAAAAGGTTATATAGCATAAATATGAGAAGTACACCTGCCGTATGGAAACAGTACAACAAAATGGCCGTTTTACACTTTTTTCTAGTAAATTCCCCTCTAATATCTATTCTATCCTCTTTGGTGATAAGGAACTCGTCTGCAAAGCAGTGCAACAGGCCTTCTCATGTCAGACCAGCGCCATTTCCCTTCCCTTTATTCTTGTTCCCTGATGCAGACCCTGTAAATCACTTAATAAATTTTACTGTTCAAAACTATCAAATTGTTTATTGATTTATATTTATTATTCAAGATTATTGCAAAAAGTTCTCACTGCTCATTATCAGAAAGGGAATTTACGAAATCAAAACATTATATATACAGGATGTCCCAGGAAACATGATAGTAGGAAGACGACTTGAAGGTCATATTAAACAAAAATTGTCAATTAATTTATACTTCAGCCTTTACTCCAGAAACCTTTTATACAACCTTTTATGCAATTATGAGCAAATAAAAATTAACTGCTGTAATTATTTTCATAATGAAAAACTGCAACATTTTCATGTTAAAGGGTTTGTAAGCATGATTTCAAGTGACCCTCCAGCTACAGTGTGCGATAAACAAAAATCTTGACTTTTTAAGAATGCCAAAAAAAAATTCTGATATTGATCATATAATCAGAACAGATTTACGAAATTAGCAAGATTTTATTTTTTAAGACTATTTTTACATAACTAGGCTTTTAGGGCACTTCGCGCCCATCTTCTATTTAAAATTGTGAACATGTTCTCTTAGTATACATTATAAAACAAAAACAAACAAAAAATTTCGCGGATTTTACAGAAAAAAGTCGTGGATTTTCAAAGTTTTCAAAAGTTGAATTTTGTAAGAGACAAATTTTTAAAAATTCGATCATCCAAAAACCTTCCTTGGGGTCACGCGAGGTCCCACAACAAATTTGGGGCCTGATCGGTTCAGCCGTTTTGACTTTTCTTGGATACAAACAGACAAGCAAAGTATATATTATAGATATATGATGCGAAGAAAAGTAATTTTGAGATTTATGTTTTTTCAAAGCAGGAAAATTACCACATTTTCATCGTTGTAAATCATACAAAGAATGCTGCGACGCCGTTTGTAATGTAAATTGGACATACAACTTATTATATTAAAGGTCACATACAACGTATTATATTAAAGGTCACAAAAGGTCATATAAATCGTATTATATTAAAGGTCACATAAAAAGTATTATATTAAAGGTCACAACGTATTATATTAAAGGTCACATAAAACTTATTATATCAAAGATCATATAAATCGTATTATATTAAAGGTTATAGAGGACGTGAGTCAGACTCTAATAAAAACGCATAAATAACTTCCAGTATATATATTTCTTATAACTTATTACTAGAGGGTTCAGAACTAGAGTCAATATCGATATCGCACGTGTAGACTGTAGATGATGATATCAGTACTATGCCCCGTATCCGTTCTATCTCATTCTGTTGAATCTTGTGGAACTAGTTTAACGCGGCCAGGCATCGTCTTCCACAAGGTCACATAAAACATAATATATTAAAGGTCACATAAAACGTATTATATAAAAGGTCACATAAAGATACGTTGACAGTCCCTTTAAGAAAAAGAATCTTGATGTTTTTAAAAAGAAGTAAATATTATCTAGAAATAAATAAAATTTGATTAAAGTTGTAGTTAATCTAATGGTTGTAAAAATAAAATGATAAAAAAAAACATTGATAAGACGCCGGACTCCAGTTAGTTCTGTGACAGGATGCAGGCTTGAAACGAAGAAAATAGTTTTTCACTTTTTTCACTTTCTAATCAAATATTTTTCCGTGTGCATTTTCTGAAATTTAAATTTTACCAGATTTATTATTTCAATCATTTCTGAATTGAGTGTTTCAAATTATGCTCCGTGACACTTATATTTGGTTTCAAATTATGCTCCGTGACTCTTATATTTGGTTTCAAATTATACTCCGTGACACTTATATTTGGTTTCAAATTATGCTCCGTGACACTTATATTTGGTTTCAAATTATGCTCCGTGACACTTATATTTGGTTTCAAATTATGCTCCGTGACACTTATATTTGGTTTTAAAGGAATTCAGTCAGTTCCACAAACTCAGATTTTCTAATCCCAATATCTTTGCAACGCAATGTCGTAGACCTTAGATATTTCAAACTATGAATTCTGATAGCTTAATTAATCTAAGTTGGAAATTTCAAAGGCTTACAGCATCAGGTTTTTAAAGATATAGGGATTAGAAAATTTGAGTTTCTGGCAAAGTCTCAGTTCCTTTATTTTTGTTTGATGCATAAAATTTATTAAATTTATACATTAAAATCTGTTTTCGCATATCAATTCAATTATGAAAATGTATTTTAAAAGTTTGAAAGTTACAATTTTTAAATTAGGATGTTTTCAACCAAAGGAACTGAAAATCCATATATCTTTGTAACCAGACCTTAAATACTTTAAGCAATGATTTCTGTTAGATCAAATAGTCAAGGTATAAAATATCAACGATTTATAGCATCAGGTTGCAAATATATAGAGATAAGAAATCTTCAGTTTTGGCAAGAACTCAGTTCCTTTCTGGTAAACTACAGTGATAACCAGAAAACTCTGAAATAGGAAGACGACTTTTAAACCCAATTTAGGACCTAAACTAGTTCAGTGAACATTAGACATAGCAATTGTTCAGTGTAAATAGACCCTTTTCACTTAAATAGTGCTTAGCTAAGTTACTAGTAAAATTATTTGCTTTGTAACAACATCAAAACGTGTTGCTATAATGTCGTCTTTCTATTTCATTGTTTTCTGGTTATCACTGTATTTAAACGAGAAATTACAATTTACAAATCCTTTAAGTAGTATTTTTACACCCTCTTCAATATCTCATGATTTTTGAGTCGCAAAGTCATATTTTCCTTTAACATCATTTTAAAAACTTTTCTTTTTTTAGAGATTCTAGAAAAAATATAGCCCAGAAAATTTGAGCAGTTAGTGTTGAATGGAGAAAATGAAGGTCTCCCTGCCGGATTCGGCTAAAAAAGCAAAATTCAAAATATCAACTTCAATCAAGAGAAAATTAAAGAAATCCTCATCAGAAAGTGCGCTTCAGCATTTGGTAAGAATATTTGAAAACATGTCAAGTTAGCCACCATAAATATTAGACCGATATGGCCGATTCTTGACACGTTAAAATTCACATAAAAATTTTAATCTTGATCAAACACAACTTAAAGGAGATCGTTGTGAATTGTACAGATCCTTTAAGCCTCTTTTTCTTTTCAACGTCAATATTTCTTTTTATTTATACCTTCTTTCTTACAACATAATTCAAGGGGGAGGACGGCGAGAATCCCAAAGAAGAAGGTTCTGATCATTGCAGCGGAATAACAGAAAATTCACTCACCAGCACTGTTATGGGGTTAGTATTTTCTGATACAGGTTGTCAAACTAAACATGACAATGTGTAATGATCATACAGGGTGTCAAAATAAACATGACCATGTTTAATGATTATACAAAGTGTGAAACTAAACGTGACAACATTAAATGATCCTTTAATACGTAATTCATCCAAATTTTATGCTTTGTTTAAGGATGATTACCTAAAAAACAGGTTGTTATTCGATAAAAAATGTTTGTTGTTTTCAAGCACAAAAAATGAAAATATGTCCAAATATGACATAATACAAAATTATTATATTTCTTCAAAAGAATTTTAAGTGTTCAATTATTTTTTTCTTTTTAGCACATGTTTAATGCTTCTTTTTAGCTCATGTTTAATGCTTCTTTTTAGCTCATGTTTAATGCACATGTTTAGCACATGTTTAATCTTCTTTTTAACACATGTTTAATGCACGTGAATTAAATCTACAACGAAGTTGTTTATAGGGTGGCCCTAAAAACAGCTTTATAAACTTTAATATTTAGAAATAGAATACATGAGTCCAACAGAAAAGTATAAAATAGCAAATACGAAGAATCTTCATTTATCGGGTGGGAAAAAAGTGTGATGTAGGATTCACATTAAACCTTTATCTGATTAACAACCGGGAACAAATCGTTGAACGTTAACCTAATAGAAGGAAGTGTCACTTTAAAATACGTCTACAGTTCCTTTAAGAATTATATCCTTAATTTCATCACTCTCATTGCATTCCTGTAAATATAAGTCATGACATAAAGATAAGGTTTGCATTACAGTTCAGAACTAATTCAATTTGACATTAAAACAATAAATATTTTTTTACAATTATTTTCAAGTTTTATGGTATATAAATGTTCGAGGGAAAAAATGAAATATTTGTGATACTCGGGCCCGGTGCAGAAATTCACACAAATAAATTTACTAAATCCACTAAAATATTAGAGTTAAATCGTTTTTGTGTCTAATATATAACAACGATATATCAAATAAACGTTTATAGAGTAAATCAAAGAATAAGTCCCCGATAAAAATTTATATATTTTAAAATCTTTCCAAAAGGAATTATGTCTTGGCCACAAGTTCCAATTTGTTATTCCCTATATCTTTGCAACTCAATGTCAGGGGTCATAGATATTTTAAACTTTGAGTTTAATTTAGATAAAATAATTCAAGGTTTACACCATCAGGTTGGTTGCAAAGCTAGGGATTACAAAATTTGAGTTTGTGGCAAAGCTGACTCAATTCCTTTCTAACTTTGTTTAAATTCCGGAGGGGGGGGGGGATTAAAACCTGGATTAAAAATCCTATTTTGTTTAGAACCTGGAGTAAATATCTAATATTTTTTAGAGCCCAAGGGGCGAGGAAGGATTAAAACCTGGAGTAAATATATTTTCAACTTTAATAATTTTTTTTTTTAAACTAAATTTTGCAATATTTTTAAATATTTATATGATATAAGATGAAAATATTTTTAGATTTCTATATTTCTTGTTCTTTATCTTCTTGTTCGTACATCTTTCAATCATATTCGGCTAATTTTTATAATAAAAAGACAAATTTTTTGGGGGGATGTCCTTGTAGTTTGCCACTTTACAAGAAAGAACTATTTTTAAAGGATCTTGCTTTTTCTGAACCCTGTATTTAATTGAACCAGCTGAAGATCTTGCTTTGTTTCTTTTCTCAAAACTCTATATAGAATTGTTTACTCTTGAGTTGCATCTGACTAAGCAAAAGCACAATTTTTCTGATATTTCTTGGGAGCGGGGGGAGATTGATTTTCTCATCCCCATCTCTAATAATAAAGAGATTTCCCTTCCAATTTTTCCTGTTCAATTTTCTTTTCTCTTCTTGCTTCTTGTTTCTTGTTTCTACACTTTAAGGCCTTTCTAAATAGTTCTTTTGACATCGAGTTGTGGAGCAGGTAGAAGAGAGATCAGGAGGTTTGTAGGAGGAAGGGTATAGGGGTTTGCTTCCTGTGTTTCTTTTATTATACTCTTTCCGAGTTAAGGGGCATTAAGGAAACCTATAACTACACCCCTTATGCAAAATGGGGAGTTGTAAGCCCTAAATCCCCATAAAGAAGAATCTTCCACAGCAGTCCAGTCCTAACAGCTGGTTGAGTAAAAACTGGTATCATTGTGCATTGCTTGTATACCCATAATGGATTAGACTCCTTCTTTCAGTTACACCAGGCTGAAGATGAAGTCTTGTTTTATTCTAAGTACATTTCTTGCTTCCCCAATAGGATACAAGATGCGCAACTAAACCCAGCGCTCCACACCAAACTGTAAAGCCGGGTCCGATATAATAGAGTTCCGTTCTCTTCTGAGGGCAGTAGGCAACTGTGGAGTAAATATCTAATATTGTTAAGAGCCCAAAGAGGGGGATTAAAACCAGGAGTAAATATCCAATATTGTTTAGAGCCTGTGGGGGAGGATTAAAACCTGGAGTAAATATCCAATATTGTTTAAAGCCCGAGGAGGAGGATTAAACCCTGGAGTAAATACGCAATATTGTTTAGAGCCCGAGGAGGAGGATTAAAGCCTGGAGTAAATATCCAACCTCATATTACAGCAGCGCTGGCGGTCATTGATAACATTGGTATGACCCGCTCTCCTTCACTCAGGTTCATTTAGCAGCTAAAATCTTTTGAATAGACAAAACTGATAATTCAACTCTTGGTTAGTGGCAGAATGAGTTTAACTCGTACAAAAACCGAGTTAGATTAGAACAGTCAATTTAAATGTTACTATTTCAACAATTTCATGGTTCGCTTACCCTTACTAATGTACAAAACTGATTTGAACTGATGCAAAGGAAGAGAATAAGTTTAAACATATTTATATTTGATCTGTTAGTTCAACCATTTTGTAAAACATGAATGTATTATTTATCATTGCTAATCATCATTTATTGTTAATCAATCATCATTCATTACTCTCTATATTCCTAGAGAATCTTTTTTTATTTATGAAATGTAATCTATTAATCATATTATTGAATAGATTACAGCTTTTATCCCACAAAGCATGAGACATCAAGGATGCCATGTTTAATCACATAATTTTATTTGCATCTTTCTCAATTTTATGGCTACAGTGAGATCTTTAAAACTTCGGAATAGGAAGACGACTTTTAGACCCAATTTATGATTCTTAATAACGTTCTTTCAACAAGAAACAGAGCAATTGTGCAGTATAAGCAGACCTATTTCACTTGAATATTTATACATAATGTTAATATCTGTTAGACCTCTGTGCTTTAGATCTTCATACTATTTCAGGTCTTCATTAAAATATCATCCTTTGTGAGTACCCCTGTATTGACATGAAAACAACCAATTAATAGTTGAATAAATCTGTTCAGACGAATTAGTGTTCAAAAAAATGAAGATGAACCTGTTGAAAAGCCCTCGCAGGTTCCTTGGAAGAGAAAGAAGAAACACTCCCTACCCCCGCAGGGAAATATAAATATATCTTAAAAATGTAGATTTATTAAAAGGGACTGTATATGTAATTTTAAGTGACCCCCTATGCAAATATGGCAACGGTACAAAAACAGCCATATCTTCTTCTATAATAAAACAAATGGGCTGAAATTTGTTTTGGACACTCATGGGTAGCTTGGACAAAGACTGAAAAGATTCGATTTTTATTTTATTTTTTCAAATTTTTTTTATCTTTTCAACATTTTTTTTTGGCGGGCAACGCCGGGCCTTTTATCTATTATATAAGATAATTCAGCCAAAGCATCTTTAAGGGTACATATGTAACTGGGGCATTGTCATCTCTGCATGGAGGGTCACTTGAAATTAGGCTTGCAGTTCCTATGAAGAATTTTGTCTCATGATAAAACTCTACGAATAAGACCTTGTAGGGAATAAATTTGGTATTTTACTAAAAAAAGACGAATAAGTCCACAATATTGATTCTTTTTTAATTGATTTAAAATTACGGCTTAGATTAAAAAATGAAAAAGATTTATGATTTTCTAATCTTTTAATTAATTAGTATTTCTCTTTGACGTCGATATTCATTATTAAAAACAAATATTAGCGCAACTACAATACGATTAAACGGAGTTTAGACATTTCCGGAATTTTGAAATATTTTTAAAGTTTACTTTTAACTGATTCATTTTTCATTACGAATCAGTATTTATGAAAATACATCAGAAATCACTTTTTTCTCAAAATGGCGTCGGATTAAAAATGGCCGACTGTTTTGCCGCGTCATTATTTATATTTGACCGTCTAGAAACTCATATTCAGCTTCTCACAGGAAGAGGAGGATATTTTCGCTGAGGGCTCAGCAAAGTCTATTGAAGGGAATGGGGAAAAGAGGGAAGGGAATTACGAGAGAGAGGAGAATGGTGAAGATGGATTTGAATACAAGGTTTATGATCCTTCATCTCTTCCGCGAATGATAATTCATAATGAAGAAGGTACCTTATATTCTATGGTTTCTTTTTTTGGCAAAAAAAACGATATAAAACCTTTTCAATAGAAATTTTCTTAAATATGCAGGATCTATTATCGTAATGTTTTTTTATCAAGTATTTATAAATATAAAACCTCTTTATTTTACGATTAGAAATAATCCTTATTTTACATCATACCAGCTGAAGGGCCGGCCCGGCGTTGTCCGTGGAAAAAAAATTGAAAATGTAAATTCCATAAAAAAGTTACCTTTGGCAAAAACATCTTTTTTCTTAAATTGTTCTGGTGAAATTTTACAAACGAATTTAGCATATAAATGTCTCATTGTTATCAAATAAATCCCAATTTTTTTCTTTATAATGCTGCACTCTCTGTTCAAATATGTTACCTAGCCGGTCTCTCTCTTTAAATTTTACGTGATTTTCTTTATTTGAAAAGGGACCCTAACTTTGTTCATTTATTACAGCAAAACTGAAAACCGCGACACATAAAAGACAATTTTTAAAAAAAGTTGAATTTTAATTTTCCTCAAAAACTCTTGAAGAATCATTAAATCAACATTTTTCCCATTTTAAAGGAATTGCTACAAACTCTTCTAATCCCTGTATCGGTTTCACAGACCCTTGATATTAAGTCTGTTAGATCAAATAGTTTGAGTTTGAAATGTCAAAGGTTCACACCATCAGGTTGCAAATATATAGGGATTAAAAAATTAGAGTTTGTGACAAAGACTCAATTCTTTGCTGATGACTCTTTTTAACTCCAGGATCCATGGAGCAGAGGTCGAGTGCTCCAACGGATTTTCAGGAGCGCCATCGTCCTCGTCCTGCTTCAGAATCCTCAGGATATAAATCCTCACTACAGGTGACCGCAATTGAAAATAATCGATTTATCTGAGAGAAAATAAGAATATCTCATTCATAATTGATCGGTCAAAAGTTTTATTGGTACCGTTGTGAACCGGACATGCCTCTCATACAAAAATTTTCATGAACATAACTTGTGAAATATAAGATATCTTGAAGTTACTTTCGACATCATTTTTAGTGACCATTATGTTTTAAATCCTTGGAAAAGAAAAAATGATGGGGTTGCAACTTTGAATTTTGTATGAGAAATGGATAAATAATTTTGCGATAAGCAACGACACAAAAAAAAATTTTAAAATGGAGAAAAAAACATCTTTTCAAGATAGAAAACGAGAATATATTTCATGAAGGCTCAATGTTTAAGATTGTAAAGATTTAATTTGTTATTTAGGTTTCACAAGACAGGACGGATACAGCAAGCATGAGAAGCTTTAAAAGTCTGACCCAGACAATTATCTCAGAAGATATAGAAGATACAAAACAGGTCATAAACTAGTCTGTACTATGTACACTGTACTATGTACACTGTACTATGTACACTGTACTATGTACACTGTACTATGTACACTGTACTATGTACACTGTACGAATATACAAAATCTATGTAAGAAAGTCACGGAAAAAAAGTTTCTGTTAAAAAAAACTTGAAATAAAAACTTTGGTAAAAAAGTTCCAATATTCTGAACTGTCACTGTACAAAATGTCACTGGAAATAAAGTCCTGAGTTTTAGATTTCTGGGACTTTTTTTCCTAAAATAATATGGTGGCTGTCAATAAATCTCAGGAAATAAGATCACAGGAATCAAAGTCCCGAAGAAAAATGTCATATATCTTGGGAAAATGAGGTCTAGTCTTAAACGTTTTCATAAAACGGACTTTTATCTAAACATCTGCATATTAAATATATCCACACTCGACAGGTGTTTTTTATATCAACTTACTTTTTTCCATGGTTTGTAAACTCCCTTTGTTTCCATTCATTTTCCACTTTTAAAAGGACTTTTTTTTCCGTGGACTTTTTCTGGAAACAGAAAAAAAGTGCTAAAAGATAAAGTCTCAAAATGGCAGGACTGTATTTCCAGAGATTTTTATTTCAAACACTTTTTTCCACAGGACTTTTTTGTGTCAAAATTTAGGACTTTATTGCCGACAAATTTTTTCAGAAAACTTTTTTGGGTGGTTACCACAATTGTACATTGTTCATATTTATAAATTTCCATGATAGTAATTTGGGATCGTTTTTTGGGATTGTTTTTTGTAAATTGTATTTAGATTACCATCCACTTATAAATGCCTGGGTTACAGTTGCACCCTTGAAACCTGTATCTGATCAGTATGTGGAAGATAACGTCCTTTTTCTAGCTCGAAAAGTATTTAATTCTGATAAGTCCTACATTGTTTTTCTTATATATTTTTGATCAGACAAAGCTTTAAAGGAAACCGTTGTGAATCGACATGTCATAACTGGAGGGTTACTTAAAACTAGGGTTAAAGGCCCAATAAGAGATAAAACTTTACATCTAACTTTAATACTTCAAATTACGAATTCTGCTGGATCAATAGTCAAAACTTGAAATAGCAGAGTGCAAAGATAGAGTTTGAGGCGGGTAACCAGTTTCTTTGTAACTTCTTTCTGAAGGTCTCATTGGATAAGAGTATAAATATAAAATTTTTACCTGGTTTGAGAGATAAAATGTATTTAAAATTTCGTAAAGTATCCTTTTTATTTAAAATGTAGAAATACAATTTATATTCTTAGATTAAGAAGGAGAAAAAACAACGCTTTTGGGATTTCTTTACAATGGTTCTTTCCATTATATACGCTTTCATCGTGGTCTGTCTAGGTATACAGATACAGATACAGATACAGATACAGATACAGATACAGATACAGATACAGATACAGATATAGATATAGATACATATACAGATACAGATANATACATATACATATACATATACATATACATATACATATACATATACATATACATATACATATACATATACATATACATATACATACAGATACAGATATACATATACATATACATATACATATACATATACATATACATATACATATACATATACATATACATATACATATACATATACATATACAGATACAGATATAGATACTGATACAGATACAGATACAGATACAGATACAGATACAGATACAGATACAGATACAGATATATTTACCTAGGAATATGCGTGTACATGTATGATATCCTGATTCGCAATGGTAAAGGCGACGAGTTTGAGGCCACCCCTACCTTGAACCTGGCTCTGTCAGTGATTGGCATCTTCTGGATGATCTACTTGATCGTCGACATCAAGAAGTACATCAACCACATGGAGAACCAAGCTTTCGGAACAATAGATATCGGAGAAATGAAACTAGTTGAAGGAGAGGATGGAGAACTCCATATTGAGCTAAACCTTCCGGACGAACGAAAAACCATGCCGGAATATTATGGATTTACCTCTGGCCGGCATTCAGGCAGTTTCTTTCTCAAAATTGGAGCAGGGTTCTTCTGTGCCGGACACTTAATTCACATGGGTATAAATGTGACCAAGGAGATCGTATTTGCTTCCTACAGCAAAGGAATCTTACACGACTTCTGCAGTAAACCTGAGAATATGATGGTTGATATCCTAATCCCTCTGTTCTCTCTGCTCCAGTGCTATGTTATCTTCAAGTTTGGAAACGTAATTGTGAACAAGAACAAACCTTTGGCAAGGTTTGCCTTCATGCACTGTATTGCCTCCTGTCTCTGTATCTGGATGTACACTATCACCAATGAGACTGTAGACGCTCTAGTAGAGAAGTTTCATGCGGTAAACACCTGTGATGGTTATGGTTATGATGATGATGGTCATGATGATGATGATGATGATGATCGTCGGGGTCGAGTGTTTGCATCAGAGGATGCTAGTGTCGCTTTATTACCTAATTGTACGGGTAAGAACTAACAAGATCTAATTTCACTGATTGCCTAATTCACAAAGGTACCCTTTAAATCTTTATCTTTGTAACAATATGGAAAATATCGCCGTTTTTTATTTTATAAAGTGTTCTATGTCTCTTTAAACTCTGTATACAACTTTTATATAGAAACCACAAATAGCAAAAATCAATGTTTAAGAAAGAAAAACGAGGATATTTTTTATAAATTTTGACCAGAGAAAGGTTTTGAGGACACCTTCGTGAATCTTAAATTTAATTTTAGTTGAAATAGAGTCTAAAGTTGCTTTAAGGTTTAATCTATAAATATTTTTGTTTTATTGCGATTTTATCATTTATTTGTGCATCGCTCCCATTTTAAGATTATTGAATAATTCTTTTATTTAACAGGTCTTGATATCTTCCATTGTAACCTTGAACTCCGACACTTCTGTGTGAGTGGAAACAGTATGTCGGACAGCCTCTTCAGTATTGCCAGCCTTCTCTACCCATTCTCCATAGAGTTCAATATCCTCGTGGTCGGTGTCTGGTACATCCTCTGGAGTAACATCGGGAAAATCAACGATCACAAGGGGTGTTGGGACTTATCATAGTTGGACATTTAGTGTCTAGATATTTTATAGACGCATAAATGGATATTTTAAATATTTAAACCAGGACATTTCGTAGACAGGACATTTCATAGACAGGCTATTTCATAGACAGGACATTTCGGAGACAAGACATTTCACAAACAGGACATTTCATAGACAGGACATTTCATAGACAGGACATTTCATAGACAGGACATTTCATAGACAGGACATTTCGTATACTGGACATTTCTTAGACAGGACATTTCATAGATAAAATCTTTGAAATGTCTCAACACTAGGACTCGATGCATTTTCTGCCGTCTGTTACCCCCCGGGGCTCTGAGGAGGCGCTGCATAGAACGGTCGGACACAAGGAGGCGCTCATTGTTTTCGCGAATTGCAAGTCCTCCATCAATGGACTCTTTATCGGGATCAGTATCTTTGTGATCACGATTATCTGCTCTATTGCTATCTTTGTAATGGAAGCCTCGTGTGATAAAAATCTTGCCAATGCTAGCATTGACTTTAGTAACGTCTTGGAGAGCATTATTCTGGCAATTATGATTGTTGTCTCTGTTGTGACCTACTTCAAGATTGCTAATTTAGAGGTAAGCGTCTTAACGTTAAAAATATGATATTACAGTTTTGTCCAAAAAACTTAGAATAGGGTGACGATATTATGTACATTTGATGTTATTATAAAGCATACAATTTTACCATTGGCTTTAAAATCAACTTATTAAATGAAAATTGGTTCATAACAATACTTGTGTTTCATGTTCATTGGACTTTTTAAAAGAATAATTTGAGTTTAACAGTCGTTATCATATTCCAAAGTTTATTATTTTTGAGCCCAAATTGTCTAGTTTCTAGTCATTTCCTGTAATACACTCTAAATTTGTAAATTTTTTCATTGTGAAAGTCTATCTGATTGGTTTTATTATATTTAATTTAATTTCAACCCATTTTTCAAATCGTCGAAAAAAAGATAAAAAATAAGCAGTTTTTATTTAATTCTCAGATATGTTAGCGATGTTTAATAATATTTCAAAATTGACAAACTTTCCACGTAGTGGTCTTCTCTTAGACATAAAACAATTGTATGAAATCCAAGTTTTAAAAAATTCTAGGTGAACCCTGATCCTATTCTAGGTGAACCCTGATCCTATTCTAGGTGAACCCTGATCCTATTCTAGGTGAACCCTGATCCTATATTCTAGGTGAACCCTGATCCTATTCTAGGTGAACCCTGATCCTATTCTAGGTGAACCCTGATCCTATTCTAGGTGAACCCTGATCCTATATCCTTCCTGGATGATATGTTGCTTCTCATATGTTTACCAATGTTTATTCTCTACTATATACTCTGTTTTGGACCAACTCTATTACAGGTTAACAAATCACGCACCTCTGACCCTTTAGTAAATTCAACCTAAAGTCTGACCGCGTCAACCTTGTTGCACCGGCTAGTCCTATTGAGTGTCTGCTTTATTTACCCAATGTCCAGGCGATACAGTACAAACTGGGACCGGAAAGGTTGACCCGACTCGGAAATTCAAATGTACTACGGCTGCCCGTGATATATATACATATATTCTCTACTGTATACTCTATTTTGCACCAACTCTATTACTGGTTAACATATATACACATATATTCTCTACTATATACTCTGTGTTGGACCAACTCTATTACAGGTTAACATATATATACATATATATTCACTACTGTATACTCTGTGTTACAGGTTAATCTATATATATTCTCTACTTTATACTTTGTGTTACAGGTTAACGTATATATATTCTCTACTGTATACTCTGTGTTACAGGTTAATCTATATACATTCTCTACTGCATACTTTGTGTTACAGGTTAATCTATATATATTCTCTACTATATACTCTGTGTTGGACCATGTTACAGGTTAATCTATATATATTCGCTACTGTATACTCTGTGTTACAGGTTAATCGATATATATTCTCTAATCTGTATACTATATATTTGTCTACGAAAACTAAAGCCCTGCAGGGGTCAATATAATTCCCTTTTCAATCCCATTTGGGATTGACAAATTTGAAAGAAATGGGGGCAAATTCTTTAATTGGGGGCAAATTTTTTTTATATGATAATTAAAAAAAAAATTGGGGGCATTTTTTTTAAAATTTCAGACTCCGCTAATAGTCGACGGTCTTCGGTAGGATAGATAATTGGATACAGGGATACAGGGATACAGGGATACAGGGATACAGGGATACAGGGACACAGGGATGCAAGGATACAGGGATACAGGGATACAAGGAAACGAGGATACGAGGATACATGGATACAGAGATACAGGGATACAGGGATACAGGGATACAGGGATACAGGGATACAGGGATACAGGGATACTGGGATACAGGGATACAGGGATACAGGGATACAGGCATATAGGATACAGGGACACAGAGATAGAGGGACACAGGGATACAGTGATAGAGGGATGCAGGGACACAGGGATACAGGGATACTGGGATACAGGGATACAGGGATACAGGGATAAAGGGATACAGGGATACATGGATACAGTGATACAGGGATACAGGGATACAGGGATACATGGATACAGTGATACAGGGATACAGTGATACATGGATACAGTGATACAGGGATACAGGGATACAGGGATAGAGGGATACAGTGATACAGGAATTCCAGGATATATGGATACAAGTATAAAGGAATATAGGAAGGTATCTGGTATAGGTTAAAGGTATACATTATACAAGGGATACAGGGATACAATTATACAAGAAAAAACTAAACTTGTAATTAGTATTTAAGGATTTTCTTTAATACAAATCATATTTAGACGATGTACTATGAGCGAAGAGAACCAAAGAAAGCTTAAAGGAAGAAATACACTGATGCTTCTAATTGTTCTAAACCTGGCGGTTTATCTCCTGGAAACTGTTCTCATCAAAAGCAAAAATAATCAAAAGGTTAAATTTAAAAATTATGAAAATATAAAAAATCAAAACCCTTTTGCATTTTTAATTTTTGTGAAAAAATTACCCTCTGTAACCTTTTTCAATTAAAACATTACTTGGGTTTATTTTTATTTGGGTTTTCAACGCAATTAAGCTGATTTTAATTGCGATCCCTTTATGTGCGATTCGACGCAATTCTGAGCAATTCCACGCAGAAATTCCACATTATTCCGCTCAATGGAATTCCGATTTTAAAAAAAATTGTAAATTTTATGCAGTCGAAAAGTCGTTTTTGCAAACATACTTTTTTGAAGGAAGGAGTAGGAAAATTACACATTTCTTTTTGCCATTTGTATTTACTACAAGAAATAGAATTTTCTTTGTATAAGAATAATATTTTGTTTAAGGTTAAAATTGAGTTTTATGGAAAAATAGGATGGACCGTTTTAAGCCATATCACTCTCCCTCTCTGTATTTTCTACAGGTACGTGGCTTTAAGTCATCGTCGTATGTATCAATACAATGAAGACGACGTTCGATTTAAATGTTTGATTTCTACCAAGATTTTTAATATCATGGATAAACATGGACAAAAAGAGAAGCTGCCAATTAACACCTTCTCTTTGTTTCTAATTTCTATGTAAACTTGTGATTTTTAAATGTCTTGTTCGAAATCAAACTTTAATGGAAAAGTCGTCTTTATTGTATTGATATAAACGCCGACTATTGGACGTAATTTAAAGTTACCTAAAAGAGACTGTTCGTGTAATTTATATTGGTCATAAAGAGACTGTTCTCGTAAGCTGAAAGGGACTGTAAACGTAATTTCAAGTTGCTCTCCATTGTTGGAGAAGTGTGTCTGATTCACAACCGTTCTAAAAGTATAAGATATCCTTGTTATTGTTTTTATTAAATGATCATTTCATTTTTGGTTTCTCCATATTGAATAGCGCATTTTTTTGCTTCAGAAACAAGGAAGAAATGAACAAAATTAAACACTTTTCAATATAAGACTTGGATCGTAAAAAAATCAATTTAATTCCAAACAAATCATTCAGATATTATAACCTATACCTTCAGTTTACGCAAACACTCCCTTTAAATGGAGGTATATTTAAAATTACAAGGAGATTCTCTTTAAAAGAGTTTCTCCTTTATTTAAAAAGTTGATTCCCAAGGATACACTGTAAAATGTTATCTAAGGAACAAGTTGGACAAATTGCTGAAATACTTGTGAAGATAAGCATATAAAGCTAAATATGTTTATGTTTATTGTTTAATGTTTATGTCTGAAAATACATAAATACTTAAACGATTTTGTGAACATTTTCAACCTTTTAAACTTTTTTTAAATGATCGTTTTTTATGCTCATGACTTGTTCATTTTATCATCGTTACATATGATCAGCACAATTGTTCATGAAATTTTGGGACTTTTAACTATTCTTCAGTGAATACGCGATAGAAAAACTTTTCTTTGGCGCTCACGAACATCTTTCAATGGTAAAATTGGCTCATTTTTATTACATAATTAATTAGTTGTTGTATTTTTTAAAAGATAAACAATCCCTTTAAAAGCAGTGTTCGTGAAAAATGAAAGTTGGCATAGGATGATATTGAATTGAATTCGATATCAATATTGATCGCTACAAATTTTACTTTTATCTGTTGTTTTATGTAAAAAGAAAATGATTAAATGATTGTGGTCTAAAATCAAATTGAATTCGAACACTCCCTTGTAGTCTAAAATCAAATTGATCTCGAACACTCCCTTGTAGTCTAAAATCAAATTGAACTCGAACACTCCCTTGCAGTCTAAAATTAAATTGAACCCGAACACTCCCTTGTAGTTTAAAATCAAATTTAAATTGAACACTCCCTTGTAGTCTAAAATCAAATTGAACTCGAACACTCCCTTGTAGTCTAAAATCAAATTGAACTCGAACACTCCCTTGCAGTCTAAAATTAAATTGAACCCGAACACTCCCTTGTAGTTTAAAATCAAATTTAAATTGAACACTCCCTTGTAGTCTAAAATCAAATTGAACTCGAACACTCCCTTGTAGTCTAAGATTAAATTGAACTCGAACACTCCCTTGTAGTCTAAAATCAAATTTTTCACAATTCTTATTTTTAGATTCCATTCAGCAGCAGCTTTGGTTGATATCTGGAATGCTGCGTACAAGCCTCCAGAGCATCACTAGTGTACAGTACTTTACAGTACCGTACAGTGTACAGTGTACAGTTATTTAGACATATTCATAGATAAAACAGTATAAACTTTATTTACGATAAGTGTACTGTATGTTTAATAAAGGAATATAAACATTATCAATATATATTTCGTTGAAAACTGGAATAAACAAAGAATAAAACAAGAAAATTTTGTAACTTTACAACAAGGAATGTATCAATTAAAGAAAACCTGAACAGACAAGGGAAAAACTAGAAAACCATACCTTACTCGTTTGAAGTGTATTGAATGGGTTTTTTGGGTAGCGGTCAAACGAGCCAGACTCTATTATTCGCGAATCCCGCAATGAATTATAAGAAGAGAGAGATTAGTATGTAGTTTAGGGTTAGGTTAGGTTTAGACACTTTCTGGGCCGAGCGCTGCGGCTAGGACAGGCTAGGGGCTGAGCGCCGTGGCTAGAACTGTCTCTCTCTTTGTCAAATAATTCATTGAGGCATTCGCGAGTAACACAAATTGGCCGCTGCCTAGTTTATGAGCGTATGAGTCGGCGTTCAAGGGAAGGGGACATAAAATACTAATATTTCTGAAAAGGAAAATTCTTTATTTACAAAACAGGTGTACTGCAATAATACATTATGATCCTTGAACATATTTGTTACTGTTTCTTCTTTTTATAAATTTTTTAATATAATTCAATTAGTCTTCAGAAAATGCGCTCAATGAAAAATAATTTTCTTTTATAAAACTAGGAAAACCATTCATTTTCTGGAAACAAAAACAATCAAAAACAATTAAGACTTTAGAAATAAATAAAAAAGAATTTTTATTTCATCATATCAAGTGTTTAAGGATACTGTTGAGATATCTGGAGTTCTGTATGTTGACGTTGGAGTAGAACATGGGAGATCTGGAGTTCTTTATGTTGACGTTGGAGTAGAACATGGGAGATCTGGAGTACTCTATGTATAGGTTTGAGTAGAACTCTGAAGATCTGGAGTTCTCTATGTTGAGATTGGAGTGAAACTCTGGAGATCCGGAGTTCTCTATGTTGAGATTGAAGTAGAACTCTGAAGATCTGTGGTTCTCTCTGTTGACTATTGAGGTTTGAGTAGAACTCTGAAGATCTGGGGTTCTCTATGTTTACTATTGAGGTTGGAGTAGAACTCTAAAGATCTGGAGTTCTCTATGTTGACTATTGAGGTTGGAGTAGAACTCTGAAAATCTGGGGTTCTCTATGTTGACTATTGAGGTTGGAGTAGAACTCTGAAAATCTGGGGTTTTCTATGTTGAGGTTGGAGTAGAACTCTGAAGATCTGGGGTTCTCTATGTTGAGGTTGGAGTAGAACTCTGAAGATCTGGAGTTCTCTATGTTGACTATTGAGGTTGGAGTAAAACTCTGCAGATCTGGAGTTCTCTATGTTGACTATTGAGGTTGGAGTAGAACTCTGAAGATCTGGGGTTCTCTATGTTGACTATTGAGGTTGGAGTAGAACTCTGAAGATATGGGGTTCTCTATGTTGACTATTGAGGTTGGAGTAGAACTCTGGAGATCTGGAGTTCTCTATGTTGACTATTAAGGTTGGAGTAGAACTCTGAAGATCTGGAGTTCTCTATGTTGACTATTGAGGTTGGAGTAGATCTCTGAAGATCTGGAGTTCTTAATGTTGACTGTTGAGGATGTAGTAGAAGGAATGTCCTAAATAAAAATATATGTTATATCCGTTATTTTGTTTCTTGAGGAATTTTAGCTAAGAACTGGAGCTACCAGTCCCTTAGAACTTTTGTAGGAGTAAAAAAACATAAAATATAAAATATTACAACATTACCATAGAAATTAGAATAATGCTGTTCCTTCTCAAACCTCATTAGCTCCTCTATCGTGGATGCAGGTTGAAATCCAAACCTGGAGAAAATTAAAAATACAATATTTATGAATATTCAGATTTACACAACCACAAATTAATACTAAACACTGATTTTTAGCTGATAACTGGAGCTACCAGTCCCCTATCAAATATAATATTATATGCACTGTTTTAATGCTTATAAAATTATATTTAACATTGACACAAGAAAGCATATTGTTTCATTAATTTTTATTTTTATTTCAAATTATGCTAACTTGTATCAAAGTTTATTTATCATATATGCATTAACAATAAATGATAAATAAGCTGGGTATCATACTCGCTCATTTGTATTCTGTGTTGCTGGCAAATTGTTATCAGCTAAGAACTAAGCGAGTAATAATTAAAGTTTAAATAATGTTAATATACACTCTGTAAATAATGTGACTTGTCACATTAAATATACACATGTATATTTCTAAAACCTAATCATTCTTCAAATTCAACTCAGTTTTCCCTTCAGTGTTAATTTTTTTGATTTAGCATAATAAAAATTTGTATATAATGTACCCCGTCACATTTTATACTCTTGTATATTATTCTGAATTTAAAAAATTAACATTGATGGAAAAACTGAGTTGAATTTGAAGAATGATAAGGTTTTAGAAATATACATATGCATATATAATGTACCTCATCACATTTTATACATATGTATATTATACTTAATTAAAAATTATAAAAAATACAAACAGTAAATCTTGACTAGGCTGTTTAAATCTGTTATATGAGTTATATAGCTCTTTTAACAGCATTTTTAGAAATTATTTTTTAGGGAATGCATTAAATAATCAAAGCAGTTATCGTTAACCAACTTTTCTACTTTTATTTGTCCATTTACGACGACAATTATACTATATATTGTGAAAACTCTTTGATTTGATTATTTGATAAACCAGATATATTTCAGATATATTACAAATATAAATATATATGAAATATATTCTTAAATATTCTTAAAATATATTCCTAGCAGAATATTATTTTACCGCACAGAACAGAATGTTTTTTAAATTTAGAATTACTTTGCAATTTTTATAATTTTTATAATATTTTGCAATGTTTTCAGTTTTGCGACCCTTTCCGCATGGTTTAAAGCATAAATACCAAAGATCTATTTTTGTTTTGTCATGAATATTTTATTTATTTACGATTTATTTTAAAGGACCCTAGTCGGGAACATGATTTAAATAATTCTCTGTATTCCTGTCTATATACATACAGTAATAACCAGAAAGCTGTAGAATAAGATTATGATTCCATTTAAAGATGGAAACAACGATACCAATTAAACCTTTATTTGATCAAAGCTGTAAAAGATACTTTTAGCTTGAAAAGTGTTTAATTCTGACAATCTCCTTCAGATTCCACATTAAAAAATATCAACTTTCCAAAAAGAAGATTATTTTTATTTCATCATATCAAGTGTTTAAGGGTACTGTTGAGAATCGGACTTGCCATTTTATTAATGGAGGATCACTTGAAATTTCATCTACAGTCCCTTTAATACAGTAAGTACCAGAAAAATGTGCAATGTATGTCGGCATTTTTATAAGTGGTCTAAACATTTTGAAAAATATACCAATACCATTATTTAAAAATCTAAAAATTCTTGGCAAAACTTATTAAGTAATATATATTACTTAATAAGTTTTGCCAAGAATTTTTAGATTTTTAAATAATGGTATTGGTATATTTTTCAAAATGTTTAGACCACTTAAAGGGAGTGACCGGCTATGTATGGTGGTTGAACTGAGTATGCAGTGGTGTTAAAAACTACTTTCGGATTCATTTGAGACATATTAAACTTTTTAAAGATCTGTAAATATAATTCAATGAGATATCAACATAGAGAATAGAATATATAGAGAGGAATTAAAAGAATCTCTCGGTATGAATTTTTTCAGTCCCTTTCAGCCTGAAAGGGAGTTCAAAGTGTACAAATCATGTAAATGTTCACAAATTATATGCAGTAGAGTACATTAATACAGTATGTTCCCTAGACTATTCATTTCAATTTCGAATTTTTTAAACTGTTAAATAAACTTTATAATGAATTAGGTAAATAAAAAACATCATTTGATTTATAGTTATAACGGAAAATCATCGTTTGTAAAGTGGAAGGCATAGAGTCTATGTGAAATGATCATTGGTCAATTATGAAACCAGCCTATTTCATAATTTGGTTTTCTTTAAACAATAATTTTAGATTTTCTATAAAATGATATTCCAGGGCCCAACAGGTTATATAGCATAAATATGTGAAGTACACCTGCAGTATGGAAACAGTACAACAAAATGGCCGTTTTACACTTTTTTCTAGTTAATTCCTCTCTATATATTCTATTCTCTATGGATATCAATCAACGTTTATTATTAAATTAATCTTCAATAAAAAAATTGAATTTAGACTTTATAAAAACATTTGACTCTTAGGCCTGTACATAATTATCATATTTCCTTTAAAAGAATTGAGTCCTTGACTAAACCTCTGATTTTCTAATCCCTATATCTTTGCAATAAACTCTTAGATATTGGTTATTTTACCAATCGATTAATACTTTTTTCTATGGAATATTTCAACTATTTAGCAAGATTTTACTCGATTATCTACTATTAAATGTATCTAAAAGCTGACAATGATATGACACAATTATGAGAGTCAGATCCTGGTCTAGAGGATGTGTTGCTTCAATCTAAGTTTGCATAATTAAAACATTTATTTTGAAAATAATCCAAGCTTTTATACAGTTTAGTTTTTATGCACTATACAATGGTAAAATATAGTTTTGCACTTATATAAACCTTCCATTGGATTTTTAGTATTTGATCTTTCCAATTTGGACTTGAAACATTGAATTAAGATTGGATGTACACTATCCATACCAATAATATAACATAAAATGTTTAATACGCATATTTGATACTCTGTCTTTAAATACATAATTAAGTCAAAACGAGTTGTCTTAGCTTGATTATTTAATAAAAACTAAAAGTCAAAAATTAAAACTTAAGCCACTTGATTTATTATTAGTTTGGAAACTGAAATCTAATAAAATATATTTTCTTTGTAATGTAAAAATGTTTTATTTACATTTTTTATTATTAGTTTGGAAACTGAAATCTAATAAAATATATTTTCTTTGTAATGTAAAAATGTTTTATTTACATTTTTTACGTTGTTTGTGTGAAATCCTTTATATCCCATTGTTTTAATAAAAAAGTATAACATTGAAGTTAATTAAACCCCAAAGTAAACCACTTTTTTAAAAAAGGTGAAATTTGTAATCAAGCACTAAATTAATTAATTAAGTATTTTAGCAGCATATCTTATATTTAAACATAGGATGAATGATGATATTGATATATTTTCAAATAGAAAAAAAGGTAAAATAAAACATTAAATTGTACAGAATGCAAAGTAAAGAGAATCTATCAAAATAAAATCAAATTCTGAATCACATCAAAGTCAAGCTAATTTTCTTTTAATTTGAAATTTTGCATGGTTTTAAACACTACTCCTTTATCTGAAGAGCCAATCCCAGTCTAGTCTAAAATGTCTTCTTTATGTTAAGGTTGGAGTTCTTTACGAAGAGGTTGGAGTAGAACTCTAAAGGTCTAGAGTTCTTTTTGTAGAGGTTGGAGCAGAACTCATGAAGATCTGGAGTTCTGTGTGTTGAGGTTGGAGTAGAACTCTGGAGGTATGGAGTTCTGTGTGTTAAGGTTGGAGTAGATCTGTGTACATAGTGTAGAACACTGTACAGTGTACATAGTGTAGAACATTGTAAAGTATACATAGGGTAGAACACTGTACAGTGTAGATATTGTAGAACACTGTACAGTGTAAATAATGTAGAACACTTTACTGTGTACAATGTACATAGTGTAGAACATTGTACAGTGTACATAGTGTAGAACACTTTACAGTGTAAATAGTGTAGAACACTGTACTGTGTACAATGTACATAGTGTAGAACACTGTACAGTGTACATAGTGTAGGACACTGTACAGTGTACATAGAGTAAAACACTGTACAGTGTACATAGAGTAGAACACTGTAAAGTGTAAAGAGTGTAGAACACTGTTCAGTGTACATAGTGTAGAACACTGTACAGTGTACAGAGTGTAGACCACTGTACAGTTTATATAGTGTAGAACACTGTACAGTGTACATAGAGTAGAACATTGTACAGTGCACATAGTGTAGAACACTGTACAGTGAACATAGTGTAGAACACTGTACAGTGTAAACAGTGTAGAATAAATTTGTACAGTCATTTACAAAATAAGTGGCTTAAAATGTTAAATGTATGAAATAGATACTTTGAACCTAATAAGATTGCAGTAGTCAAATACACTGTTATACACTTTGATAGAAATACTATTGCAGCTTATAGCATGCAATAAAAAAAATTCTTATCAATATTATTGAATAATGATTTTTTTATTTTAGCAAATAATGTTTTTACAATTTCCGTTTAGAAGGTGTTAGATCATTTTCAAAATTTCAATAATTGTCATTAATATATTCAGGAATCGAGTCTGATTTTCTAATTTCCATTTTTCTGCAATCCAATTTAGTAGACCTTTGATATTTCAGAATATACGTTCTGTTATATCAAATAACCTAACTGTTAAATAAAAGGTTTCCACCATCAGGATGTAAAGATATAGGGATTGGAAAAATTAAGGTTGTGATAATACTCAATTTCTTTCGAAGATTTTTTTAATAGTAACACTTTGTTTTTGTGTATGCTTATTTTCAAATCATGTTTAGTAGTATTATACTTATTTAATTAATTATACAATAAAACTTTAAATCATATTTTGAATGTTTATAATTATATAAATACATATATATTTAGTTTTACAATATGATTTAATGTATCTATGTATTTAAAATATGTTAAAAAATTGTCAGATTGGAAAATAACGAGAAGAAAATAAAATAAAATAAAATATTCGTAAGCAATCATTTTGTATGAAAATACACAATATATTTAAAATAAGAATCCTAAGTACTTTAAAATATAGACTCTGAATAGAATTTAAGATTAATGTTATTAAGTAACCATCTATTTACTTAAACTTTATGACTCTTTCATTGAAGAGTTATTAAGAATAACAAAGATAAACGTTTCGAATTTCTAACTTGTAACTGGTCAAAACTATAAAAGCTATAAGGTCACAATGTCGTACCAGTAATCTGGCATACATTTGTACAATCATAAAGTCACAAGCGGTTAAAAAAAAAAACAATTAAAACTAGCAGTTTTTGAAACATTTGAATAAGGATATCTCATTTATTCTTGTTAAGGATATCGTTGTGAATCAGACATGGAAATTGCACTTGAAATTACTTCTACACGCCCTTTAAGCGTGTAGATCTAATTGTTTATTGTTGGATGAGAAGTCTAGAATCATGAATTTATAAGTTGTGGATTATTTATCATTTGCAAAATTTACGTAAGAGTATATAATGTACATATATGTAGAAAGCAAACCCAAAATTACGCAAGTCTATATTTTTATCAGCTGAATCATAGTTTCGTGGATTTACCATAAACCAATTTCAAGTTTCTGATTTGAAAAGGAATTCCGGGTTTATAAATGTTTAATTCAAACTACATCAATACATATATCTATAAATAGTAGATTTAATACACTAAACCCCCACTAACTTTACCCCTTACTTTTGAATGAGCATTTATAAAATTTTACAGTCCCCTCTAAATATTTTCTAGGTCAGAAAAACAAGAGTTGTGTCAGGGGGAGGGATAGAAGTTTGAACACGCAATTAAATTTGATAGAAGACATAATATGATACAGCTTTCCCGCACCACGAGTCTACCTGGAGTAACCAGTATAAGACTATACCTGGAGAGAATCGATCAAACCACAGTCTCCTGAAAACCACTATGCGGGATTCAGGTTTACAATAAATATTTACAAAATGGATTCAAAACTTCCCTACGATCCAATGTCTGGGTTTAATTTGGGAGATTCGGGGTTCTTTTCGATGAAAAATTCTTTTAGTTCAGCAGTTAATACTCCTTCAAAGCAAGACACGCCATTTTATATTCCGTCAAAATCTGGGAAAACTTCAGCTGAGATTATTGAGGAAGCAAAGGCTACGGTGGGAAAATCCGCAGATGACAATTCAACCCGAGCCGCAGTGAGAACTGTCGATACAAAACGTCCTTTCACTCCTCGTCAGACTGACAGACGATTATACTATGGATCGACGAATCATGTGGCTCGTCCTCCCAGTTCGTTTCGTCTCCTCCCCCTCCCGGAAGAGGATCTTAAACGTCCCGTCACAGGAGTTAAGATCACAACAAATTCGGAGAAAGAAGGATCTAAACTTCCGTCGATTCATCCCATCAATTCTCCGAAACCTACCATGTCAGCACAGAGACGATCTCCCAAGGATCGGTCAAAGAGCAATTACAGATCGTCAAGCTTAACAGATGTTGTTGAGGTATCAGAACTAGATCTTATCCAGGTACAAAACGACGACGGACCATCCAGCACTGATGAAATCATCTATGCCGAAGATCCCAAAGAGAGAATACAAAAAAGCGCAAAAAAAAAATTCAGCCGAAACAATTTTTATGATAATTCTATTTCTGATAAACCTGTTGAACCTGCAAAGGTTGCCGAGGATTTAATCCTGCCAGGATTACTGGATAATCTAAAACAACCAAACCTGAGCAGAGATGATATCCTTGCAAGAATGAAAAGCCTTTACACATTCATTGTCGACTCTGACAATCCTAAATTTTTTTCTAAACGAAGAGGTGAAATTATCAAGGTGCTCGGAGCCTACGTGGATTCTGAAAATCCAGATGTCCTCATTCATTTAGTCCAAATATTATTGTCAATTAATGTAAGAAAACAGAACCTTGCCACAGCATACAAACTCATCTATAAGGTTGCAAGGGAGGCAGAGAATGATCCTTGCTTTTTAAACTCTGACACCCTAGAGCTTCTAGTTAATTCTATAGGAGGAGCATGTCCAATTAACGATTCTGAAGCTCTGGTTTATGGATATGGAGCTCTCAAGTTCCTCACCATGAACTCTCAAACAAGAGAGAAATTAAAGAAAATGGGAATTCTTGACTTGGTTTTACTCCATCTTAAACTTATCTGTGAATCTAAGGCAGAAAAAAAGATCCCAGATGAGACGAGTCATGTTCTATTTCAGCTCACCGGAGTTGTCAGAAACCTTGTCAACGACATTTCAATGCAGAAGAAACTGGTGGCTATGTCTGGGATAACCCTGATTTGCCGTTGTTTAGAACTGTTTATAACTGATCTCGACGTGGTTTGCAACATCACTAGATCTCTCTCTGTTCTCTCTTCAAACGACGAAGCTTGCATTGTCCTTACAGAAAATAAAAGTTTTGCCTCCACGGCGGTGAAAGTTTTACAGAAGTTCCCAGGGCGTCAGGATATTGTGGTCCGACTGTCATACTGTCTAGGCAACCTCATGGCTAAATGTGATGAAGCAAGACCATACTTTGGTCCAGATAAGGATGATGATACAGGTATTGACAACATGGATACTCTTCTTGATCTTCTTCACTCATATAAAAAGAAGGACGTGGGACCTAAGGCCGAAATATCTATCGCAAGTAAACTAGAATCTGAAGACGATCATGGATCTTCTGGAAACGCTGAAGATGTTGTGATCAAGATCATTCGTGTGATTGCCAACATGAGCATTAATCCTAAAGTTGGACAGCAGGTTGCCAGTATACCCGAGGTCTACAACCATCTGACGGATATCCTTGCAACCAGGAATATCATTGAGAACGAGGAGTTGATCCTCTCCACCCTGGCAACCCTCAACAACCTCACCTACTACCCTGTAGACATCGGTAGCAAGGACACCCAAGATTCCTCAATCTACAACAAGATCGAGAGATACATTGACTGTGCGAACATCGAAGCTCAGATAGAATCAAGCCGAGTTCTAGGAAACCTGACCCGGTCGAAGAATATTCGAGATCAGGTTGCGAAGTCGGATACATGGAACGTGGTGATTCATCTCCTATCTACTGATCAGCGTGATCTTGTGTACACAAGTGTCGGGGTTATTGTAAACATGATGTCAGACTGGGATAAAAGAACAAATCTGAGGTGGGTATTTTTTTATTATTGACAAATTTCGATATTTTTATTAAGGAGGAGCTTAAATTAATTAATTCGCCAAATCATTTAATTTTTTCAAATTTTTAGATTGTCTCTTTAATAAATCTGTATTTTTCGAACTCTAGACTATGCATTGTAAATCAATAGGGTTAAGTTAATAAATTTAGTTTGATTTGGTTTTGAAAATATGCCAAAAATAAACATAATTACAATAAATCTATTTTTTAATAAAAATGGAACAAGCTTTATAATATAAAAAGGGCAAATTCTGAAGCGTATAAAAATGTCAAATTATTATGTTTGCATACCAATAATAAATCATATTACACAGTCGTTTTATGCTTTATATGCAAATAATTCATGTTACTTACGATAATAAGTATTTTAAAACTAAATTATAAACATTTTTACTTTCCAAAATAAAATTTTTATTTGGTTTGATAAACGAACTTTCAAATTCTATTTTTCTAATTTCTGTATCTTTGCAATTCCTTATGGTGTAATACATATCTTTTTAAACATTGACTGTTTGGTCAATCAGATTTCATACATTGAAATAGTTAAGGTCACAACGAGTTGCAAAGATATAGGACAATAACACTGTTTAGAAGAAGGATGTATCTCGCACTCAATAGAAAATAGTTTCATTAATTAAATATTATACTTTACTATGAGAATAATAATCAAGAAATATTGTATGCGAAATTACTGATAACACTTTGCCCCCTTGTAACTCCTCTAGTTCTAAATACACCTAAAAGCAAGGAAAGTTATTTCAAAAGTGTACGCATCTTTTGTACTGCAGTGTGCTGTCTCTGGGCGGCAATGTAAACACAAGACGGATGTTACAGCCTGACATTGGATCCATCTTTCACATGAAATATTCTGGTCATAGGAAACTATTATGTGAATTATCAAAATTATCAAATTTAATGCTTTTAACCTCCTCGGATACTAAACGAACACTGATGCATCGATTCTTGTTTACAAATTCCGCCCAAAGAGAACTAGTTTCAATATGTACGCAGAGTATACACGACCGCAATTAACTTTCCTTGCATTACACCCTTACCTAAAAGCATGAAAAAAATAGCAAAATTTTTAATTAAAGAAACTGAACTCTTACCGCAACCCCCTTTTTGCAATCCCTACATCATTTCACAAATTTTAACCTGACAAAAATTATATGCAACAACGAACCAAACACGCTTTAAAAATGAACCAAACACCCTTTAAAAACGAACCAAACACGCTTTAAAAACGAACGAAAGACACTTTAAAACCGAACCAAACATGCTTTAAAAACGAACCAAACACGCTTTAAAAACAAACCAAACACGCTTTAAAAACGAACGAAAGACACTTTAAAACCGAACCAAACATGCTTTAAAAACAAACCAAACACACTTTAAAAACAAACCAAACACGCTTTAAAAACGAACCAAACATTCTCTAAAAACAAATCAAACACGGTTTAAAAACGAACCAAACACGCTTTAAAACGAACCAAACACGCTTTAAAAACTAAAGCGTTCTGGCGATTTTCATTATTTTTTAAGTTAAAAATATTTCAACGTTTAATTTTTTTAAAAACTTCACAGACTACAGCTTTGAAATCGTTTAAGTTCTGTTAAAGTATTTTTAAAAACGATTAAGATAAAATAATTAGATACAATAGGGGTTAGATAAATCATGTATCCAGGAGTATGGGAGGTGTGAGTAAACTGATATAAATCATGTATCCAGGAGTATGGGAGGTGTGAGTAAACTAATATAAATCATGTATCCAGGAGTATGGGAGGTGTGAGTAAACTGATCAAGGTGCTCAGGGACTGTGTGACCATGATCAACGATAACGAGGATCAAGATTGGTTACTCGCCAGTCTTACTTGTCAGGTAATCATGTACATACAGTGGTCAGCGTTTATATTAATATAATGAGGACGACTTTTCTATCTTGATTTCTTACAAGATTTCTTCAAACTACAAGTTTACAAGTAAACTATGCATCATGCATAACAAACAGTTTAGATATTTTATATGTTGTAATATATACTTTAGATATTTGTAACAATATATGTATTCTAGATATCATTCACACTGATAGATATTTCCAACAACCCATTTAGTCTAGACATCTAACACTGTTAGATATTCTTAAGAAACCATTATAAATAAATGAGTAAATAATAAATAAAAAATAAATGAATAAGTAAATAAATAAATGAATGAATAAATAGATAATTCAATAAATAAATAAATAAAAGATCAACCATCATTCCGTAGAAATAGATATCAGGGTATTAAATTATTCAAATCACACAGACAATTAGATAATTAGATAATTATGTATAATTCGAAATTAGATAATTCGAAAATTAGATAATTAGATATTCCGGATGATGAAATTATTTTATTATCTATAATTCCTGAGCTTGGGACTTAAGAATTGAATACTCTTAATCTAAATATCCAATGTGGACACTTTTAATTTTCTGCTTAATCCGCTCTTTCTCACTATTTTTTGGAGATCCCATCAGACTCCGATCAATGAGAGTTCTAATTATTTTATTTTCTTTTATTAGATTAATGATTTTAATAAACCATCGTACAGCAAAAACTAAAAAATAACATGGAGAAAAATTGAAATTATATACAAAATATGGCCAGGAGAAGCTGTTTGTACTCATCCTCAAAATTTCAGTTTTTTTTTTTTCGAATTTTAGTTTTGAGAAAACTGAAGATTTTTATGCTTGAGCTTTTTTATCTTTACAGGAATTTGCTTCATTTACTTTTCCTGTATTAAGAAGTATATTGGCTATACGTGATTCAAAAAATTTCAGTATAACAATTATTTATAGTTTAACTCAAATAGATTACCACGAATCAGTATCAGAATACAGCTGTACTGAAAGTGTACAAATTCTGCGTTGTCATCCATTGGACTCTACATCTTATACCTCCATTTTTTGTTTGTTTTGATGCAAATAGCTTCTCAATTATTCAATTAAGGAAATGAAACAGGCAAAATATATATATCTTAAAAATAAACTATAATGTGTGATAAGTTAAAAATCTAGTTTTTTAGTCTACATTCATTTACCCTTTTTTTTACCCTTACTTATTTATCTATCCTATTTTTTACTTTCATACCCCCCCCCCTTTAGAAATTCTTAGCTACGGGCCTGTTGAACTCTATATCTAATCAAGTATGAATTATGCTATTAACGTTTTTTTTATTTTGAAATGTTTCTCTGCAAAAGTGACTTGTGCATTTCGAGTTAGAAAAGCTTCCACATTTTTGATCATATTAAGGTTCCAAGGGAACCATTGTAAATAGAAAATCTGCCATTCCTTATATTCAAATACTGCTAAACCAATTATATATTTGTATTATTTGTGAATGACAATCAATAAATACTTGATTTTATCTCAATAAATCATTATTTATTTATTTTTTTATTTACCATTGTAATTCCGGCATTGGCATATCTTTGCATAGAGGGTCACTTGAAATTACGCTTGCAGTCTCTATAAAATGTAATAAAATAAATATTTTGGCCATTGCAAGGTTATAATGCAAGGAAAGTTAATTGCAGTTGCGTATACCTGCGTACATATTGAAACCAGTTCTCTCTGGGCGGAATTTGTAAAAAAGAATAGATGCATCAGTGTTCGTTTAGTATCCGAGGAGGTTAAAAGCATTACATTTTGATAATTTTAATAATTTACTAGATAGTTTCCTATGACCAGAATATTTCATTGATTTTTTATGTGAAAGATGGATCCCATGTCAGGCTTCGAAATCCGTCTTGTGTTTACATTACCGCCCAGAGACAGTACACTGCAGTGCAAAAGATGCGTACACATATGAAAAAACTTTCCTTGCATTATAAACTTGGGCTATTTTAGTTATCCCCCCTGTTTACTAGTTAGTCCCTTATTATATACTTTCTAAAGGAATGTTAAAGTTTCAAGGTGAGCCTTGAGAACTTTAGTAAAAATACTTACATAGTATCTATAAAAATCTATCCATATAAAGTTGTAATCTCTGTTTGTCTGTTTGTATGTCTGATCATAACTCATGAATCCCATGACCGACTTGCCTCAAATTTTGATTGGGGAATTCGGGAGAACTACGGAAGGTCCAACTTTTGTTTGAAATAATGCTAATCTGCAGATTAAGTATCTGTAATTCTTGATCTTGATATCCGATGTGACAACTTTAAAGCTACAGGATCATTTTTGATATCCCTGCCGTGGGTTTCGACAACGGAATATCCAGAGGTATTAGTTTAATCCTTTAAACTCCTTGATCTCGGTATTCACAAACAGTTTTGACCTCGCACAAAATAAAAAATACGAAATTGCCAATTTTGATCTGCTACTTCTACACTGAGAACCAGAAACTCTGGAAGAGAAAGACGACATTATAGCAGTACTTGTTACAAAGCAAGTAGCTCTACTTGTAAGTTATACAATCACTTACTAAGTAAAAAGGGTCTATTTAAATTGCACAATTGCATGTCATGTACATATGACTTTTAAAGTCATAACTTGGGTCTAAATGTCGTCTTCCTAGTACAGAGTATTCTGGTTCTCATGCTGCATAACTCTTACTCTGATAGTTTTTTTCAGAGAGGGTTAAATTCATAGATTAATAACAATACTGTAAAGGCATACACAAGGTGATTAAGCTTCTCTAGGACTCTCTCCGATGTGTTAAAACTGTTAGTCGCAAAATATATTTCAAACCTGAAACAAGGATGATTTAATTACAATGTTTCTGGAGTTACAAAATGCGAGTATTTGTTTTAATAAAAAAAATGGCAAATGATCAACTTTAAGAAACACAAATGGTAAAGGATACAGTTTAAGGTTGTTGAATGAGTGGAGTAAATATTTATAAACTGATAAGTTGATACTATTGAAAAAAAAGTTCCGAACATTGTTTGTTGCTAGTATTATGATTGTATTTGAAAGGGTAACTTACTATTAGGTCTTAACACACTCGAAATAGAGAGGTGATTGATTTGTGACTAAAACATAATTGTCTTCTGAAAATAATTGCTTGTTTAAAAAAAAGAAGAAAGATTGTTTTCACTTGGAAATTTAACTTATTTCACTTTAAAATGAGCGGTTTTGGTACACAATCGAGTTTCGGGGTCGGGAGGGTTGGGTTTGGTGTGTGTGTCTCCGTCAGAGAAATAAATCCTTGGCAAACCTGGTAAAGACGACTTTCAAAGGCTCTGGGGAGTGTAAAATGATTTTGTTCAACAAATACATATAGAACACTAGATATCGTCTTATCAAGCAAATGCTTGTTTTGCTAAGGAATTGTTGCATCCTAATGATGTAAATTTTTTAAATTTCAAACATAGACTATCTAATCTAACAAAATTCATAATTAGACATGTAAAAGGTCTAAAGCACGGGGTTACAAAGATATAGGGATTAAAAATCTGAGTAATTTTGTTTGGATTGAGTAAAGCGTTATTAAAGAAAAATTTTAATATTATTTAGTTTCACGTATACTTAAGTTCACGTTTGATAAGAATTCTTAAATATAATAACAAGAATTAGAATTTAATATACTTTATATCGATAAAAGTACTGAATTGATACATAGATATGCAGCGTAATGAGCAATACGTTTTTTGCCAAAAAATAATGTTTTTCAAAAAATTCTGGAATAGGAAGTCGACTTTCATACCCAAGTTATGACTTTAAATAGTGTAATGAACATGGGGTACAGTATTTTTCAGTGTAAACAGACACATTTCTCTTAATAATCGATTTGATATCTTAATAGTAAAGTTATTTATAGCTTTGAAAAACAACTAATTTTCTTTAGTAATGCCTTCTTTTGTATTCATATCACTGTTTATATTAAGCTTAGGACATGTTTAGACATATTTATATTTTTGATGCAAAGAATGAATTATCTAGATTGAAAATAGATTATCAAGTTGTAGCAACAGAGAAATGAACCAATCATACACGACGTCACAAGTGTCAAATATAACAAGGAAAACGAAATTTTCTCACATTAGTTGACGTGTTTTCCAAAATTAAGTACAAAAAGTGTAAAAATAGAAAATTAAGAACACATTAAATTGCACTTATTTTACTGTAAGATTAGCACTTTACTCTAAAATTATCCCCATTATTAATAATTTTGTCGAACACAAACACTGAATTGACACTTGTGACGTGAGAATACAACTGTACTGAGAGTGTACAAATTCGTTGCCATCTAGTGTACTAGAATCTATTTGCTAGATTGTAGATTGTAGATTGTAGATTGTTATTATCTACTTGGAAATTTTGTCCAATATAGAAGACGATATTCGGGTCCGCCACTAAATATATACAGGGGTATGGTACGACGACCTTTAAGCCAAAATTAATAATGGATCTAAAGGTTGAAAAAAGCCTGCAGAAAATCCGTACTGTCGTCTCTTAAGTTTGGTCGTTTGTGGGTAACCCTGTAAATGTTAATCTACAGGGTTACCCACAAAGCATGAGACTGTAGAGACGACTGTATGGGATTTATGCTGGATTGTTTTATTCCATCATTGATTTTTGTTTTTTTTCTTTGCCAAATCATTTAGGGAATCACTTCCAGACAATATTTAAGGCAAATTCAACCTTTAGATCTATTTAAAGTATGATTTTTAGGTCGTCATTAAATTCTTATTCTTTGTGGGTAACACAGTGGGTAACTACAGTGATAACATAAAACAAGAACCCGGAGTAGGAAGTCGAGGTTTAGACGTTGAGTTATGACTTTAAATAGTCCAATAAATATGAGGCATAGCGATTGCAGTGTAAACAGACTCATTTTACTTAATAAGTGATAAAATAACTTCAGTATTGCTTTAATGTCGTCTTCATATTCTACGGTTTTTTAGGTTTTTACTGTTATAGTGTAAAATAACAAGAATACAATAAATACGATTTTATATACGACTATATGGGATTTATGCAGAATTGTTTATTACATTATTGATTACTTAACAACTTTAAACATAAAGGGAATCACTGCCAGGCAATATTTAATGCAACATACCAAATTCAACCTTCAAATCAATTTAAATTAGGATTTTCCGATCGTCATAAAAGTCTAATCCCTGTAATCGTGTAATCATGTAATCATGTAATCATGTAACTATTACTTAAATATTTTTAAACACATAGCCTGGGAACCCAGCGTTGCCCACGGCACTCATAGTTTCTCCCGCCCTCCACTCATGCTTAGTGGTAAATTACGATGTTGGCTATTTTTTCCTATAAAAACCCACACAACTTAGAATCTTAAAACCAAACTAAGAACATTCCCGTGGTTCTCCCGAGTTCCCCAATAAAAGCTGGAGGCAATTGGGTCATGGGGTTCATGATTAATGATCGGTCATACAAACAAACAAACAGAGATTACAACTTTATATATAAAGATTATTTCTTCAGGCTCTATGGAACTACAGTATCGACAGCATGAACCTTTTCGACTGCATGGACAAGGAGGAAATCTCGGAGCTGGAGGCCGTCCTCGTCGAGTTCCTGGACGAGGATATCATCTTCGGGTCCCAGGAGGAGCTGGACCCGGCCCAGGTCCCCAGGTATACATTAGGACTATATTTCTAAGAATATTTTTTGTTGGAAGGCAACATTTAATTAATCTTGTGAAGCAAAAGATTAGTGAGGTACAGGGTGTCCCACGAAACATGACAGTTGGTGAATAGTTTTGAATATCTTCTTCCACATACTGTATTGGATATTAAAGACTTTTTGCAGTTTTTTTTTTCTTTAAATAAATGTTAAACTCATATATATTTTACTGTGAAATCAATTTTACTATAATATAACTGTCATATAAAAATGTTAATAGTCTCTTTAGTATCAAACAACTTATCAAATTATGAAAGAAGACATTTTAAACTATTCACCAACTGTCATGTTTCGTGGGACACCCTGTAACTTACATGGAAATGTCCGACATCCTTGGTCTGTCAAAGGTTTAAAGGAATTGGGAATGCTTCTCTTTACATGGAAGGTCACTTGAAATTACGCTGACAGTCCCTTTAATGTCCATTGTAATCTTTATATCTTATGCCAGAGTCAAAAATATAGCAAATTAGAAAAAAATATGAACATTCAATTTTAGAATAATTTTTTATGAAAAGTCTGTTGAAAAAGAACAAAACAAAATTGGAAAAAATCGACAAATTAAATAATCTCTATTCCAGACAGAAAACAAATATTTAAAATTAAGAATTATAATTTTTAACAATTTAAAATTCCACTTGTTCCAGGTACCAGGAGTGGGAGGAGTTTGCCAAGGTTGGAGTAAACTTATTGGAACGATTGGAATCCTTCCTGGAACCTCTGGGACCTACAGACACAGAGGCATCGGAGAACTCGGAGGAGGATCAGGAGGATCAGGAGGATCAGGATGAGGATCTAGACGGATCCGATATTTATTAGGATTATCAAATTTTATTTCAACTGTAACTTATTTTATTTAATAAAGAAATATTTATAGAAATGGCGGAAATTACCGGGAAACGAATTAAAGTGTGATCAGACGGGAAATAATGAATATTTAATGATAAAAAAGATTTTAGTGCACTACGTGTCCCAAGCTCATTAATCTTAATGATTTATTAATTTCTAATGGAACTTTGATTTCCAAACTGATTAAACCTTAATTTCCGGTTTAGGTAGAAATACCTTTGGATATTTCAAACTTTAAAATCTGCTAGAATAAATGAACTATAAATGACATTTTGAAATTAAAGAAGTTAGCTAAAGGAATTGTGTGTGCCACAAACTCAAATTTTCTAATCCATATAATCTTCGGAACCAAGTTTAAGTTTGAAATATCAAAGGTCTACATCGTCAGATTGCAAAGATATAGGATTAGAAAATTTGAGCTTGTGGCAAAGACTCAGTTCCTTTGTTGACATCGCAGTACCATTCTTATGTCAAGTTTATATCTATTGTTAACCTTTCGCAGGAGCAAAGAAAATGGAATAAAGTAGAAGGAGATGGAAATTGTTAACATATCCTATGACATATTTGGAGGGCTTAAAACAAAAATAGAGATTGTAACAAGATAGTTTTAAAGCTGTCCTTAATCGTTACAATGTCTCCCTTATCCTTCGCTCTTTAAAAGATATCATATTATTCAATATCCTCATAAAGTATCTAAATTATGGATCAATTATTTCAGGATTTGAGAAACCTATCAGCAACAGGTCTAAATACAAAAGAAGCAAAGGATCGAAACAAAAAATAGAAAAAAATCAGCATAATTTTCCCCATATGATTCGCCCGGTTTGCCCCATTCCTATAAACTTCAATTTAAAAAAAAACATGTTAAAACATTTTATATCTGAGAAAGGTCCAAGAGTGTCAGCAATTCTGTAAATATTTATATTCGTATTTCCTTTCTCAAGTCTGCAGGGAACCTTATCCCATTGATTGTAACTGTAAACCCACTTGTTCAGAATCCATTTAGATCCGACAGCTACCGGGCAACCGCCATGTTTAGTCCCTTCATCTCGAAGGTTCTGATGCGTAAGATCCCACCAGAATGCCGCGCTACCTTTCGTAGGATGCACAGTCAAAGAGGAGGGTGGAAGAAAAAAACTGGTCCCGCCTCCTGCAGGGGTATCTGTTAACCAAGCCATAATGGTGGCTACATAGTCCCCTCGGTTAACCAACGTCTCTGGATTTGAAGAAAGATTTTCAAAAAATGACTGAGCGTCCAAATGGGATTCACATAATCCCCCTAAACCATAGTTTGTTACTTGATACAAGTTCGAACTCCACTGTCTTGTAAGGTTCAGATTGAAAGCTAGCTCCATACGAGCAGACAGTTTATGAACTCTAGGGTGGTTTACAGTAAAGTTATCTGGATTGTACATATCACCAGGTTCATGATAGGATACAGCTTCCATCCAAGCTTGGACAGATTTAACAATATTTCGAACCTTACCCTTAAATGAATCTTTATCATATGCTCCTTTAGAATAATCCAGGTTTCTTGACCTGGATAGTTTAGGGGTCGCCCAATTAACAAGATATTCTGTATCCTCATCAGTGAGTAGTTCATGAACCACCATAATGAAAGGAGTATTACTAGCAACCTCCATTTTGAAAGGTCCCAGCTTCAAATATGGATCATCTTGATGCAGAAGACGACATTTGCTGATAAGAGGCCATTTTATTTTACTAGGGAGCAGATTAAACTCATTTCTACAACCCTGAAGAAGTGCTTCCATACGAAAGAAGTCTCCTCCAAAAGAAGTAGCTAAACTGATATCAACCTTGTCTATAGCTCCAGACTTGATAAACTTGGGCTGAGTTTTCTTTTTCTCCAGCTTCTCATCCACAAGATATTTATTTACTACAACCAAATCATTGATAAAGGTCTTTTTATTTGTCACAAAGTCGTTGTTCAGCTTAATAAGATCTTGTTTTGCCTTCTCAAACTGATCTTTGATAACATCATCTTTTTGTTCTGTGTCTTCACTCTCTTCCTGTGCTTTATATGCACTTCTCATAAACTTTATCCCGGTGTTTATTAAACCTAGTTTTTGGGACATTGTTGCTAGAACTTTAAGATCTTGAGAGGTAAGCGCGGAATCTCCTTGATGTTTTGCTCCATGTGCATAGTGCTTAACATGAGTTGTATCTACCAGACCCTTTCTAAACTTCTCTGTATCCAGATCATAAGCATGAACTATGAAAATAAGTGCTTTAGCCGCTCCATACATATCTTTCTCAGTGATGGTTTTGAGAACTTCAGTTTCCTGGAAGAGGATTTCCAATAACTTCAGCATTTCTGTTGAGTTCTCAGTTTTTAAAGATGACAAGGTGTTAGACAATGCAGGAATAAAAACTGCAGCTTTTTTCAGAAGATTAAATGAGTTCAGAGGATGTCTCACATATTCTTCTACACTCTTATTAGACTCTTCGGTAACCTTCAGAAAAACCTCGATCTCTGTAACAGGATATTTTTCATTGATTTCTTTAAAACTCTTCATAAAGTTTAGATTCTCTTCACACAAGGTTCTGAGAAGGGGTTCGTTTTCCATAACACCCATATCATAATCTGTCAATCCGGCCAATGTAAACCCGAAGAGGAAAATAAGGAGAAACATTATTGCTTTTATTTCTGTTCTGTTTCCATTTTGATCACTGTCTAGTTGCTTATATACTAAACTTATTGTGTATGTCTTGAAGATAGATAGATAGAATTCCAGGTATACTCTTGGCAGTCTACTATTGGTACAGGTGGAGATTTCAATGCAAAATCATAGACCACGAACATAATTTTCAGAGGATTTTGTTGAAATTTTAGATTCAACCATGAAAGAGTGGGGAAAGGGGAGGGGTGTAACACTTTCTAATAATTTAAAATGGCCTCTATAGTTTGTGACTTTTCCTTAACCTTTGTAAGACATGTTGTATTTAAGCGAAAGATCAAAGCCCTAAGCCATTTCATAGACAGGACACTTCATAAACAGGACATTTCATAGACAGGATATTTCATGTACAAGACATTTCATTGAAAGGACATTTCATAGACAGGACATTTTCATAGACAGGACATTTCATGGACAAGATATTTCATGAACAGGACATTTATTAACAGGACATTTCATGGACAAGATATTTCATGGACAGGACATTTCATTGACAAGGCATTTCATGGACAGTACATTTCATGGACAGTACATTTCATGAACAGGACATTTCATAGACAGGACATTTCATAGACAGGACATTTCATAGACAGGTCATTTCAACATATTCAACATATATTTTGAAAATTCATATTATAAAAAGAATTTAGAAAGAACAAAAAGATTTTTTCAAAAAAAAAATGCGGATTTTTTGAGTTAAATTTCGTGCATTTTCCCCGAAACTACTCAGCTGATCTGTTTAAGATTTTAAGGTGAGATAGAAAATAAAATATTCTCCCATTTTTGTTTTTCTACTCATCTAATTTTGAATAAAAATAGTTTCGCGGATTTTTTTAAAGGGTCTATCAGATTGTCTTAAAAAAATCTAAAACTTCATACATAATTGTTAAAAATTAGATTACCAAAAAAATACTTTTTCATGTGCAAGATCTCGCTATTCATCCGTTTATTTGATCCACCTGTTATAATTCATATTTTTGTTTTAAACTGATAATATGAAATGTCCCAAATAGAGTACAATAGGTGGCAACAGAGAAATGAACTTTAGATCGTTTTTAAACAAATTCCAACCCTACTCTCTAGCACTAGAATTATATCATTTTCTTCTCAATATATTTCGCCGAAAACTTTGGCATCATCAGGAGTTTGTCCTATAAAATAACAAATAACAAATAACAAAATAGCAAAAAATAAAAATAAATAATACAAACACAGCAACTAAAATAAACAAAGAAGAGAACAAAAATAAAAATCTTTTTATGTAAAATGGAATTTTTCAAAATGAATATTGTCAAAAAAATAAAACTAAAAAGAAAAATTAGAAAACCGTACCTTACTCTTTTGAAGAGTATTGAATGACTGGAAAAGGAAATGGACAATTATACGCGACGTCACAAACGTGTCAAATATAACAAGGAAAACGAAATTCTCTCACATTAGTTCACATGTTTTCCAAGATTAGATAAAAAAGTGTAAAAACAGAAACTAAATATTTTACTGTAAGATAAACACTTCATTCTAAAATTATCACTATTATAAATAATTTTGTCAGACACAAAAACTGAATTGCACTTGTGACGTCAGAATACAGCTGTACTGAGAGTGTACATCTATTGTACTAGACAATCTATTTTAAATGTCCTATCTATGTTAGTATCATAATATCATTCTATTAAAAGTCCCAACACTCAAATTTTATAATAAGCTTCATAATTAATTGCTATTTTTTATCACTTAATATTTTTTGTTTAATATTTTAATATTCTAGAATTAAAAACATAATTTTTCAAGGAAGACTAAAATTTCTTAGCACATTTTGGTCGTTAATAATGTTCTAAGACTCCAACAATGCAAAAAAGTTTAAGTAACATGAAGTAGCCCAATTCTTTTAAAACAAAACAATCAGCTTTTTACATCAAGTTAAAAACTAAAATATATGGTATTTGTTCTTCATTAAAAATATAAAATTTTTCAAACATTAAACTATTTAAAGTCTTTTATCACCCCTTAATAACGCCTTTTTCATTTGTGCAATGTTGTAAAAATTCGCTATCTAACAGAATTTTGTGCAAGGTATATCTATCTTTATATGTTTTACTGATCTGTCTGTTTGTATCCAATAAACGTCAAAACGGCTGAATCATAAAGAACCTAAAGAATGCAGAAACCGAATATAAATAGATAAACAGATAAACAAATTATAGTTTAGTTTACTCTTGTTTTCAAACTCTCATTAATATTTTTCCTCTCCTACAGGGTGTCCCAATAAACATGGGAATCAGTGACGAATTCGATATCGTCTTTTCAAATAATTCTTTGATTTAGTAAAGTGATACCAACTGAGAAAGCTATAATCTGTAAGAGTTTCGTTTGCTATGTTCACATTTTGTTTGTTTATGTTTTGTCTGCATACGGTTGTACTTAGTAAAACAAGAAAATTGCAGTATACAAACAGAGTATCACTGTTCATCTTGAGGATACGACACATCTTTACAGCCATTTACCGTTTTTATAACTTTAACTCTAGCAGACATAATTATATTATGGCTTTTGAAATTAGGAATTACAATGCTAATTCATTACAAAGACGATATCGAATTCGTCACTGAATTTCCATGTTTTTTGGGACACCCTGTATCTAAATACATACTTTACTTGTCTGGGTGTTTGTCCGTTTGTTTTCATCCAATAAACGTCAAAACAGCTGAACCGATCGGGACCACATTTTGTGTGGGACCTCACATGACCCCTGGGAAGGTTTATGGAATTTCAAAAAATTAGCCTTCAACAAAATTCAATTTTCATTTAATTTTGAAAATCCGCGGCATTTTTTTTTTAAAATCCGTGGACTATTTTTGTTATTGTTTTACAATGTTTGCAAAAAGAAAATGTAATAATTAAAAAAGAAGATGGGCACGAAGCGCCCTGATTGCTTATTATAGTAAAAACTTTTTTCATTTTAAGATTTTCACCAAAGTATAAGTGCAAAAGTAGTGTTGAAGCAAGTTTCTAATTACTTGTGAAAAGTTAAGGGTTAATTACAAATGTTGAAGGTTAATGAAAGAGAAAGGTTGCGTGCACAATGTTTCTTGTTTACAATAGTTTCCTTGCTCTAGATAGATAGAACTGATAAGATAAATGCTAACCTACAGGGCTTTCCACTAAAGATGAGATTTTAGTGAGCTTCGGAGGCGTTGAAGGAATTTTTTAAAGTGCCGCTTTCTAAACCTTCTGATAGTTGATAGCTGCAGATATTTAGTTTTTGAATGAAAGTATATGGAGCTCTTTAAAACTGTTCCTGCATATTTCATAGCTAATCATTTATTTTTACATTTACTGAAATTTAAGTATGATAGTAATAAACACATAGCAAAAATCGTTAAGACGACATTTTGTAAATTCTTTTATCGTTTCCGAAGTTCAGGGTTAAAGCATGTAAGTGATTTTCATCCTATGTAGACCTACGGATTAAATTCAGTCCTTTAAGGAAAAAACAATGATCCTTAAAGGGAGTGTTCGCAAAAAATGAAAGGGGGTATAGGCTTAATGCGATAAAAAATCGCTTTTGATCGCTACTAATCTTACTTCTATCTGTTGCGTCTATAAGGAGAAAATTGTTAAAGACGTCTAATACCGAATAACTAAGCGCCCATACAAATTCAGAAAATTGCAACATACGACTTAGACCGTGAAAAAGTCAATTTAATTTTAAACAAATCATTTAGATATTAGAACCTATAGTCATCGATTATCTTTCGCCACATTTGTATATAGTTTATATTTTATAATATTTTATTTTTTAGAAAACGTTTTCAACGGATTTCGAAAATTGTGAGTGGTGTGCGGCATTCTTAGATAGCTGCGCAAGCGACAATAGAAAAAAACAAATTAATTAAAAAATATTATAAAATATAATGATTTCATTTTACCTTGACATCGTTAAACAATGACGTATACAGAAATAAATATAGGGAGGGGGGGGGGGGCAAATATGTACGAAGCAGAATTTTTTTTGGAGCTCCTAGGGGGAGGCAAATTTTGAACTGCATAAATTAAAACCATTTGGCTTCTTGGATATCAGGCATAAGTATAGATACTATAAAGGTACACATACAGTCCAATTACCTTGCAAATACTACATTATCTCTCCTTCATCATATCAAACATGATTGATGAAACGTAGTTTCTTGAGAATCAAAGATTGCGCGTGAAAGAAAACTTTGGTAATACGTACAGAGGAGAGGGTAATAAAATGTACAAAACAATGATTAGTATTTTCTTCGATTTTTTTACCTCCACGTTTGTTGCCATTATATCTACAACATTTGATATACGTATATGCTGTGAATTGTGTTCTATATTTCTCATATATCTAAATTGTTAAAAAAATTCATTAAGGTTTTACCTGTTCAACAATTAGATTTAAAATAGAGTGTTTCCGGACTAATTAAAAAAACTTTAGGACTATAGGGCTATAGGACTATAGTATTATAGCACTACAGGACTATGGCACTATAGCACTTTAGGACTATAGCACTATATGACTATATAACTTTAGGACTATAGGACTTTAGGACTATAGGACTATAGGACTATAGTACTATAGGACTATAGTATTATAGCACTACAGGACTATGGCACTATAGCACTTTAGGACTGTAGCACTATATGACTATATAACTTTAGGACTATAGGACTTTAGGACTATAGGACTATAGGACTATAGGACTACAGGGCTATAGGACTATAGGACTATAGTACTATAGTACTATAGGACTATAGTGTTATAGCACTACAGGACTATAGCACTATAGCACTTTAGGACTATATAACTATAGGACTATAGGACTTTATGACTTTATGACTTTAGGACTATTGGACTATATGACTACAGGACTTTATGATTTTAGGACTATAGGACTATAGGACTTTAGGACTTTCGGAATAGGACTATAGGACTTCAGGACTATAGGACTATTGGACTATAGCACTAAAGGACTATAGGACTATAGGACTTAGCACTATAGGAATATAGGACTATAGGACTATGGGGCTACATGACTATAGCGCTACAGGACTATAGCACTATAGCACTATAGGACTATAGGACTTTATGACTTTAGGACTTTATGACTTTATGACTTTATGACTTTGGAACTACAGGACTGTAGGACTATAGAACTATAGGTCTTTAGGACTATAGGACTTTAGGACTTTTGGACTTTTGGACTATAGGACTTTAGGACTTTATGACTTTGGGACTATAGAAATTTAGAACTATGGGACTATAGGACTAACAGCTTCTCTTTCATTACTTGTAAACTTTTAAATTAAAAAAAAAAGCTTGTTAAAAATGAAAACTGTGATATAAAAGTCGACCTCATTGTATTGATATAAACGCCGACGACTGTAGCACACAGTATGTCTGAGCTGAATTGATATGTCAATTAAATCCATCTAAGATAGTTTAATGAACATTATGTAATTTAATACTAAAAACATTTAGCACAAAAAAGGATTAAAACAAATACTATTAATTTACGTTTGGAAAGATTACAGTAAAACCTCAATGAAAATGAAAACATAAATCAAATTCCTCTTACTAAAACAATTATCTTTTATGTNCCCGTCTCTTTATTTTATTAAATGAATATGTTATTGGAAAGTCCAATAAGAAGGAAATCGATTTATTATATTGCAGACATTTAGCTCTTAATATCAGTTCTTTTTTGTTGTTAAACAACAATAATGACATTTATATAATATTCATACAAAAAAAACATTAAACTTTTTATACACTATTATTTATTTATACATATTCACAATATTCGCTGTTGTGAAAAAAAAGTTTTAAAAAAGGCAGTTTTCTTTAAGTTTAGGCACATAGACATCAGTTGCCATATCAATATTGTTAATTTCAACAATAAATAACTATAAAAATATATAATTTGAACTTTATTCATTTTGAGGAATTGTTTTGAGATTAATCACTTGGTAAAGTTCGATCTTATCCCTGATATTTTGAAACCTACATATCTGTCTCTAGTAGGCTTGAGTTAACACTAATATTGGCGTTGAGTAGTTGCATACTCCTAGAGAGTTTATGAGACTGGTTCACTAGACTTTCTTCATCCCCATCCTCATCCAGGTTGGTTTCAAGGATCTGCATGCTCTTGGAGCGGGTCTGTCGAGGGGGTGGATCATCGAAACCTGTCTCCAGTGCTGGTGGATCGGACGGTCTGAAGGATCGGGAAGGATTTTTTCTGAAATGATCTGACACTGGTCTTTGACTAGGAGGGGCGGGGGGAGGGTGGAAGGGACGAGGAGGGTTTTCTCGAGATAAGGTTTCTCTTAATGAAGGACTGGGTTCCTCCTGATGGGCAAAAGGTCGGGCATACCCGGGCATTGAAGGGATGTTGCCTATATGCTGTTGAGGTTGTTGAAGCTCCTGCGGAGGTTGATGTTGTTGTTGCTGTTGTTGTTGCATCTGTAAAGTATTAAAGTTTGAATGTCCATAAACTGCAGTATTTGCAGGACGGAAAGTTGACTGATTACTCCGATCCCGTGAATACTCTCGATCCATAGTTTGATAATCCTGATCCATATTCTGATATTCCTGATCCGTGGATTGAGAAGTTTGAGTATCACTAGTGTTCGCTGAATCCTCAGCTTCAGGTTTCAATTCTAACTGGAGATCTCGTTTAAGCTCTAGGACGGAGTCTGCATCTCTCATGCTCAAGGTATGCTGGGAGGCATGCCACAGTGATTTCTGTGAATCCTCTGTGTTTAACTGTGATTGTCTAGTGTCAGGACGGATTTGCCTGTTTTCAAAAGAATCATAGTTTACAGATGCTCTATGGATGGTTGCATTGATACTGCTACCTCCTGGAGCATAATGAACCTCTTGTCCATGAAGATCTATAAAGTTAGTGCTCCCTGGAGAAAGATGGCTCCCAAATGGAACAGGATTTGCCATTTTTTGCTCGTAAATATCATAGGAAAGAGCATCCTCCAGGGTTGAATTTAATGCACTGGAACGTTTCTCAATTGAGTCAAAACTAGTATTTGGACCGTACGGGTTGGTTCCAACAATACTAGGTTGTCTTGAATTATTTATCATCTTTCTCCGGTAGTTAATATCACTGAAACCTGCACTCTGCATAGACGCCAGAGATCTACTGCCCAGGGAACTCTTGGAGAGACGGATAGAGTTCCGTCTCTCAAACCGTTCCTTGTTCCTGGTTCTGTTCTTGGAACACCAGAGCACTGCTATAAGAACGATGAGGAGAAAGCAACCAATGACAGAGCAGATTGATGCAATGGTTACATAATCCTCCAGATGATGAATACTGAACCCAGGACTGACATGAGGATCAAGTTCACAGAGGGTCGGGAGCAGGAAATCACAGGACACTGAGTCAACCTGTCCATCAACAAAAGCTGTGCATTCATTTGCAGGAGAGTCGAGATGCTGAACCCAAACCATGTCATAGTATCTCCAATCCTCTTGTTGTGTCTCCAGGTACCTATGGATTTGGTAGTACCTGTCCATCAAGTATGGCATCGATGCATTGTCCTTGGCGCAGAAGGATTTAGCATTGTTGAAGCTCATTGGAGCACCATGATACATGAAACATGTGCCTCCAACGAGGGTCCAGCCAGGATGACATTTTCCACTGAGCAAGGTTCTATTATTCATGTGAAACGGTGTAAAATCTACTTCTAGTAATCCGTCCTCGTCATGCAGATCCTTTATCCGTCCTGCAACTGCGTAGGTCTCATTGTACGCCCAATAGTTGTACTTGGCATTGATTGGGGTCTTCCACACGTCGTACTCCGACCTGTTCATGGTAACCAGCTCATAGTCGTTGTCAAGGTTATAGAATACGTTGTCCACGTACTCCTGTCCTGCCGATCCAGCTAGGATTGTTGCTCTACTCCCCCATTCACATCTCTTCAGTGTGGTTTGATCACAATGCTTACCATACGCATAGTTATTATGGAAACCGTTATGGGTGAATGATTGATAGATTGGTAATCTGACATTGTTGTAACCAGTGATCTCCAGGATAACCCGACCGTAGTTGTTAAAGAAGGTATTGAAGGAAGTGTTACAGACGACCTGGTTCATGATCACAACTGGTTTAAACGTGACATTGTTCCTTGTCATATAGTTCCTGTTCATGTTTATATGTTGGTAAGGACTGGCCTGGATCCCCTCCAGGTGCAATGTAACCTCCTTCCTGTTCTCAGAGAAAACATTGTTAAGCAGAACTCCCTTGAGAGAGGTTGCAGTTCCACTACTCCCAGCTCGGATAAACAATCCTCCAATATTTCCTGCAACATAATTATTCAAGAAGAAAACATCCTGAGTGTTCTGAATATCTAGATGAATTGCGGATTGACAGGTTGAGAAGTTTCCATAAAGATCAACACAGTTATCCATGATCTGGTTTCTAGCAAGAGTAAGTACTGGATTGATCTCTCCGGCTGATGTGTACCGAACCGCTCCTCTCTCATTATTCTTTATCACTGAGAATGAAATATTGTGCTTCACGTATCTATCATTTCCAACAAAAGAAATTGGCAGCGTTACAACTTCAGCTACAAATCCTAGAGAGTTTCTAGCGCCAGTAGCATGAAACTTTATACTCAGGGCATTGTCCTTAGATGAAGACCAAAGTTTGTTTTCTAGATTTTTTCCATCAACCTTTATTGTTGTCATAGGTTTGATAGTATGATTGTAAATATCTCCGTCATAAAGGGTGAGATGATCAGGGATCCATGGTTCTCCGGAGCTGTTGACAAAATTGTATTGGAGTAATCTGAACCCAATTGGTTTCACATCGTACACACTTGCAAATATCTTAACACAGTCCACAGGATTGTTATCATACTTGTAGTAGAGTAGAACACGCTCTTCAATCACTATCTCTTTGTGCGGATCACAGATATCGATCATTCCAAAGTTGTGATAAGGAATTGTAACTTCCTTGACTGGAATGAAAGCGGAATTTTCAGCATCGCGAATTTCTCCAGTAAGAATAGCAGCAGAAACTCCAGCACCCATGTTGTTTTCAATCTTGTTATAAAGCAGATTCACAGTTTTGGGCGGAGATATCATATTGATTGCATCATAAGCACACCTGGAGATGTTAACGCTGGAGATGAGAGGAGACTTCATGATGCTCTGAACAGCTGGAGATTTCTCTGTATGCAGGATTCCAGCTCCAATTATTTGAACATATTGTAGGACGGACTCGGATTTCTTTACTTGAGAGTGAGTTACGGCATCATGTATATGTTCATGAAACAAGTCCTGCTCAAAGTTCTTAACTGAGAATCTAACCCCGCCCCAGTACTCCATAGAGTTATCCAGGTTTCTCTCTCCACAGTGGATGAATGCAAACTCTTTTCCTTTCCAGTTACATCCATAGTCATGGCCGTAGATTTGACCATTCATACGAATAGGACAGTGGGACAGTCTCCTCTCCCTACCGGAGCACTGGAAGGGTTCTGGCCAGTAAATGATCCTGGAGAGAGATTCTTCATGGTATTCGATCCTTTGATCGAAGTTGAGGAAGACGTTGAGATCACTAAATCCAAGCTGACGACAGATAACCTCGGCATTCCTCTCCGTGAACCTAGGGTCACACATTGGGATCCATTGCATGGTTGTTCTATTGTATATCTCAAGGAAACCTTGATTAGTGCCTTCCGGACATATTGTTCCATTCTGATCCGCCTGACATAGTCTTACATCAAAATCAGGACCATTCCTATAGAACGCCTGGCGCTTTCTCCGTCCTACTCTGTAATCATTGACTCTGCTAAGCTGAACAGGTCTCATCAAAATGTTATCATCAATATTACCCTGAGCCATCAAAGTTCCAAGTACAAGGATTCCAACACTTGGATAGAACTGGAGCTCAACCCCTGGATCTATAGTTAGGGTCACACCAGGCATAATTGTCAAATCTCTCCTGATAATATAAGGTCGTCTTCTGTTAATCAATCTTACAGATTCATGTAAACTCCCGCCCAGGTTGTCAAAATCTACATCAGGTGTTCTAACATAGCTGGTGGAGAGTTGACTGTCAAAGCTGTTTTCCAGAAGGTATGGAAGAAAGTGTGCAGTCGAATAGGAATTCCAATCATCAAAATCAAACAATTTCTCCCGGATTAGATCTATATTTGAGGTTCCCCAGTAGTTGGATTCGGCATTGAGGATGTTTCCAACTCTGGAAGTTTTAACCCCAGCTAAAAGTTCGTAATCTAGTCCTTCGTTTCCAAACAGGTTGTTTGTTATATTAAACTTCTGAACTCCTTTAACCGCTAGGGTATAGCTGGCAGGATGATATGAATCTAGACCTAACTTCAGATGAGAATGTCTGTTTTGTTGAATCACGTTCTGAGTAAAGTAAGCTGCAACATATCCCATTATCTCAGATTGTGAATCCAAATCTAATTCAACCATATAGATTCCATCATTTCTGTAAATACTATTTGCAAATATTGTTGATTCTTTCTCCATCCCAGAGATACTTATCAACCCCTCCTCACAATAATTCTCTGCTAAGGTATTATTAACAATATAAACTCGAGCAAAATGTCCTCGAATATTCAATCCAAAATCCTTGTTTTTGGCAAAGGAGTTTGAATCAATATGAACAGTATGTGTGAAGTTCTCATTGTAATGCCAGACATAGGGGAGAGAGACATCAAAGCCTCCTCCCTTGTTTTGTTCAAAAATATTCTCTCTCAGCACCCAGTGATAGATGTTATTAGAGTCTCTAAGATCTTTTGAATACTGGAAAATTCCTCCCTGATTATCTGAGAATCTAGTTCTGTTGATCATATAGGTTATTTCAGAGATATTGAACTGATTCAACTCCCTAAACGGAGTAAATATGAAAAATGCTTCTTTATTGGAAGATATCTCACTGTCAAAGATTTCTATAGACTCATTAGCTTTCCTCAAATAGACCTGAGAATCATGTCCAAGATATCTGTTGTAATGAACCGCCATCAACCCTTTGCCATTGAATGCAATTCTTGAATTTGAAATTGTAAGACGTGGGATTGGACCATCATAAATCCTATTTCTATCCAGGGGGTTTATAAACCAGGCGCTGGGATTACAATTCCCTGGCAGGTTTGCACAGTTGATCGGAGTAAGGAGAAGCATCATGTTTCCAAGAGGTTCATCTCCAGGATCCACCTCTATAGTGATAGCATAGGAAGAACTAACTGCTGGAAATGTTGCAATATCTCTTGAAACCTCCCAGACCTTGATATTTTGGGAGCTAGACACTTCATTGTAATCATAGATGGTAAACTTTTCACTTGTGTAGTTATGGAACGGATTAATTAGTTGCATTCCGATTACAAACTCATCTCTCTCAACTCTGATAAAGTAAACTTTCTTCTCTGAGGTTACATTCGGAGATGTAATGATCAGTTTTGATTCCTTCTCTCGCAGAACAATTGGATTAGATTTCTCAGTTCCCCTGGTAAACTCTGGAAACCGTATGATGGTATCAGATTTGGACTCATCAATAAGAGACATCCACTCTGCCAGCTCTCTCTGTTCTAGCTTGCTCAGCTTGGGATCATGATAGATTCCAGCTTGGGCATTGTCTCGTATCTCAGTATCTGTAATTCTCATTCCCAGTTGGCGGAAACTTATCCCGTGCCGCTTGTTTCCAGAGAAAAGAGAGTTTTTAATGAAATTGACATGGTCTGGATAGTATATGTCGGAGTAAATTATTCCCAAACCGTCCTGATAATTGTCCCGAACCTCCAGGTTTTCAAAGACATGGTGAGAGAAATCTGCCTGAATCCCAGGCATGAAGGAGTGGGTTCGGTAATCAAACAATCCTGCTCTCTCCACCTTCACGTCATACAGTTTGGATCTTTTGGAGGTCATTCCCAACCTCATCCCAGCCCAGGATATGTCGTAACATCTTAAACCAACATCTTGTTCATGAGAACAAGAATTTATAAAATCCTCCATCTTTTCTGCAGCTTTGCACTTTCTTATATCCATATCTAGCTTCTTGCATCGTACATTGGACATAAAAATTGGTTCAGTATTCCCTGCTCTAGGTACCTCATTCCTCTGTAGTTTCCAGTCCTCAGGGTTCAAAACAAATCCCATCTGCTGGCAGACTAGAGCTGCTGATTCAAGAGTCCAGCCGAAATCACAAACTGAACCCCATTCTTCACCAAACTTAACCTGAAGTCTTCCTTCTCTCAGGGTCTGACCTCCGACCAATCTTACAATCTCGTTCGTCACGTTTTCTCGCACTGTCTCCAGGAGGGTTAGGACAGGTTGACCCCCTTGGAGATCACCTTCAGCAATAAGTTCTCCTGAAACCATCATTCCCACAGAGTGTTCAAACTTCAACGTTACTCCAGGTGTAATTTTAAGCCGGCCACTTGGACGGACGTTAATATCTCGTCTCACAAAATAAACTCCGTTATCTCTAAGCTCTTCTACTCCTGATACATCTCCCCCAATCTCCCTGGTTTTAGGATTGATAAAAATATGCTCAAACAAGGGTCTCTCCAGGAGTAGTTCTGTATTGATATTGTTTGAAAGGAGATATGGGATATAACTGATCTTGGCGAGATTATATCTATCATCTCTATCAAAGATTCTGCCCCAAACCCTCTCTTCATCCTTATCTCCCAGCCAGTTGAGTTTACAGTTTAGCTCCGTGTTAGGTTCAATAAGATGGGATCCTATCTCATACCTAGATCCAGGATTTTCAAGAATATTTCTCTCGAAGATGATATTATCAGAAGAGAGAACCACAGGTGCTGCAACCTGACTTCTAGGATTTAGTCCGAGCCAGGGTTCGTTTATCTTGTTATTCATTATCCAATTAAACCTTGCTCTCAGCTTCTGTCCCTTCCTGTAATCATAGTGAGACAATCCCAGGTTTAGGACGTAAGATCCTTCGTTGTTATAAAATCTATTCTCTTCTATCAGTAAATCTACATCTTGGATTTCAAGAATAAAATCATCCTCGTTCTGGGTGTAAACACATCCGTCCTTGTTACCAATGAAATCATTGTGTTCTATTTTACCCCTGGCTCGAGCAATGGGACTAAGTTTAACCGCCACACCCTCATTGTACTCGAAATGATTGTGTCCAATTTGTAGTGCCATGTTTCCTTCTGGAACATTCTCTAAAGCTGAATCCCTCCAGCAAGAAAGGATCTCAAGTCCAATATATCTTCCAAAGACAAAATAGTTTCCTGATGCGTTCACCACGGCGGGGCCGCAGAAATTTCCGACCAAAACTCCAATATCATGGTTTAGTGAGATGTTTGAGTAAGCCACCACGAATTCTTGTCGAACAGGTGTATTAACAGTGGTCTCATTCAACCATAACGATATCCCAGCTCCTATATTGTCGGAAACCTGAGACCATGACACGTTCTGACACCCGCCGCCATAAGTAATGTTCACACCGTCAACATAGTTCTCTGATATCCTACTGTGTGTCACGTTAACATATCCTGCTCCTTCGTCAATATGAAGACCAGCAATATGATTGTTCCTCTTAATATGAGAATTATGAATATGAACATTGCTCCGCATTCGTTTCACCCACACCCCTCGACCGTTGTTATCAGACACAACGGACTCGGTTAGATTCAGATCAGCGGATTTAGCAAGCCCCGCCGTTATCTCCAGGAAGATCTCAGTTTTGACCCGCCGTTTGGCGGTAAAGGTGACATACATGTTGTCTGAGGTGGTTACTACACTCTCTGGTCTTGTATAGTTCTTCACTTCTATTGACTTTATCAACCTAAAAAAGAATTTTTTAAAATTATTTTTAAAGAGTAAAACAATCATTGCGTCCTTATACTTGGGTAAGATATAAAAAACAAGTCCTATTAATGTTGGTGATTTCATATTAAATGTGGAAAAGAGCAACCTTTAGTGACTATATTTCTATCTTATCTTGGAATACAGTCGTCGTCGTATATATTAATACAATGAAGACAACTTTAGATTTCAATTTTTATTTTTACCAAGCTTTAAAACAACATGGATACACATAAAAATCGAAGCAAAGAGAAATTATAACTTAAATAGAAAGTCGTCTTCATTGTATTGATGTAAACACCAAACACTGTAGTATAACCACAAAAGGTTGCAGTATTTTAGGGGGGGGGGGCCAGAAGAACTACAATAGAACGACATATTTTATTTAATCCCAGAGTTGTTGAACATTTCTGAGGTTTGACCTCCTACTGACCTTGAGGACGTATCTGCTCCGTCCCTGACCTCTAGTGTGACCCCATCGTCCACATTTGCCATCAGATGAATAAAATGAAGAGTTAGAAGATATCCTTTCTTCGTGTAGAATCTTTTACCACAAGACCTAAATAAAAAATTGATTTATTTTTGTTGGAAGAAATACGAAGTTCTTTCCTCAAAATTGTATAGTTCCTATATATTTGCAACCTGATATCGTAGACCTTTGATGTTTTTTTAATTTGGTGTTGATGAAGGACCAACCCTCATAGAGTTAATAAATAGATGTTAAATCCACATTTTATTGAAAATATATTTCGGTCGGCAGGTGGACCCTTGTCAGTTCTTGAGTTGTTTCTGTCATGAAGATTCAAATTGATTTTTAATCTATAAATTTTGCTGGATCTATATCTTTGTTAAGGTTTACATCATCAGACTGCAAAGATATACGAATTAGAAATTTTTTTTTTATGCGAGTTATCTGTTTCTTTCATTTGAACCGCGGCAATTATCTCTGTTTACTTAAAGCATTAAATAGTTGTCAAATCAAATTCTTTGTGAAGGAATGATTTGGCGGGAAATTGAAAAAGTTTAAAATCGGTGATTACAGAATTCATAGACTAACGATTGTCCCAGAAGTATTTTTTATATTTGTCTAAAAGATGAAAGACCACCGAGACATATTTTTTCCTTAAATGTTCAAATCCCCGTGTCTTTGCATTTTTAAAACTTAATGGTGTAAACCTTTAAATATTTCAAACTTTAACTATTAGATCTATAACATATTCGATGGTTTGAAAAAAACAGGTTTACAAAATCAGGTTGTAAAGATATACGTATTAGATAATCAGAGTATGAGGAGAATAATCAGTTAGTTCTATTTTGTAGAAGCATGAACTTGTGAAATATCTCTAAATCCAACATAAATTGTTTGATTTGTCTGTGCAATACGTTTTCTATATCAAAGTACAGGAAATCCCAATAAATCAAGAAAAGACTGTTAGAAAATTGAGAGATTTCAACAATAAAATCCAAATCAGTTGTTAAATTTCTAGTACTGGTTCAAAGGAATTAAATCTTTGGCACAAACACATTTCCTCTGGAGAGAAATTCATGAAATATATAGAAAACTATCGCAAAATTTATTAACGATTAATATTAATGCAAGAAAAACCTTACAGAGATCCCCAAAATAGTTTGAAAAAAAATAATTACGAATATTTTGGTTAATATTTTGTTTCGACACGTGCTAATAAATTAAAATAGTTTTAAAAAACTTTCTGAAACAATGTTTTATATCTAATTTTGATATTTTTTATTGTTATTTATCAGTTTAGGAAACATCTATAAAATATTCAGCTATAGAATAATTTGAAGCATGTTCTGAATACAAATAAGCAATCATAGCATAAAAATAATTGAACAAATTAATCATTTATAAAATATCTTTTTTGGCTTTTTACTTTAGTTTTTAGAAGATTTTGATAACTTTCCTTGACAGCCTTTTATTAAACATTTTTTTCAATCATTCAATGTCGGAAACCTATCAGTTCTTTTTCCATAAAAAAAATGGCTTCAAATTGGGTGTCCAAATTAAAATGTAAAAAAAATCGTCATATTTTTTCAATCAAGTCAAACATTGAAAACAGATTTTAAGGGCTTTTCAAACTGTGGTCTACCGTCTTTGTATACATATCTTTAAATTAAAAACAAGGCAGACCACATTTTCGAAAAAGTGTTCACTCCACAATTGTTGTGTTTTAAGTTTATTGATTTTAAAAATATTCAGTCGTCTTCCTAGCTTTTCCAAAAACTTATTATTTTTATTATGTATTATGTTTGACATTCAAAATTGTACATAAAACTTACCTTTCTACCATGCTATCCTTGTACTGTTCTGCAACCATAAGTAAAGGATAGGTCTGACTGTACGTTGTACTGTATGTACAGAAATCATGTATATCCAGGCCTTCAATGACCCTGCTCTCTGGCCGCTGATCATGAACGTGTAATTTGACTCCGTCGGCCATGTTGGAAGTGACAGCTGAATCCTTGATCACGAGGGAACCACGTGATGAGTTCATGTACACTCCGTATCCACGGTTCATCGTTATATTGGCATATTCTATCAAGACTTCAGACATTGGCATCGTTATGTTTATTCCTGTAAACAAAATCATGATAAAGGGACTAAAAGCGTAATTTCAAGTAACCCTCCTAGCACAGAGGTGAGTTTCCGATTTACAACGGTACCCTTTAAACCTTTATAACTGATCAACGATGACAAAGAAATCGTGTGTTTATTTTCTAAATGGTTCAAACTCCATAAAAACTGAATTGTACACTAGTGTAAAGTGTGTATTCAACACAGCTGACTTTACATAAAAACTGAATTGTACACTAGTGTAAAGTGAGTATTCAACACTAATGACTTTACATAAAAACTGAATTGTACACTAGTGTAAAGTGTGTATTCAACACAGCTGACTTTACATAAAAACTGAATTGTACGCTAGTGTAAAGTGTGTATTTAACACAGCTGACTTTACATAAAAACTGAATTGTACACTAGTGTAAAGTGTGTATTTAACACAGCTGACTTTACATAAAAACTGAATTGTTCACTAGTGTAAAGTGTGTATTCAACACAGCTAACTTTACATAAAAACTGAATTGTACACTAGTGTAAAGTGTGTATTCAACACAGCTGACTTTACATAAAAATGCAGAATATTTTATGACCAACGCTGTTTCCATACCACTGAAAATATTCTTTTCCTAAATATTAAACAACTTGCAAAAAATATCAAGCGTTTTTGGTTTAAATGGTAATGTTGTAAATCGGACCCACTACTCTACAAACTATAACCATAACTTGGTTCATTGCAGCTATAATTTTATGATTAAATATAAACGTTTTACAATCTAAGTGTTAAAAATATTTAAATATTAATTTGAAAATAAACGCTTCCCTTTATTTGTAAAATATAGAATATTTGAGGATATTTAATACTTTTACCTCTACCCCATAATTTGTCCAGATGGTTTAATACCAATCAATAATTTGGTCATGAAGCTACTATAACCCCCCCCCCCTAAAATAACGGTTGGTATTGAGCATTAAAATCGTTAATTATGTTGAATAACCCTAATCAAATGTACCAACTGTGTCTATATCACGAATAACAATAAAAATGTTTAGAAAATAATAATCAAAATCTTTACGCGTTTTAAAGCATATAGATTACTTTGTATTTATGAAATACAAGGCTAGTTAAAGGGATTGTACGCGTAACTGTACCCTTGAAACCTTTATCTGATCAATAATGAGAAAAGAATGGTCGATTTCTTTGTTCAATGCTGTTTTCTTCCTTCAAATAACTGTTTTTTTTTCTGCAGTAGAAATGCGTAAATCACTTGTGCAGAGAAACCACAATTGAAAAAAATAATTTTTCGAAATTAAAAACATTTATATTTAATTCATATTTGATCAGATAAAGGTATTAAGGGTACCGTTGTGAATCAAAAATTCACTTGAAATTATATAATTCCTTTGTCTTTGCAACTCAATGTTGTAGACCTTAGATATTCAAAACTATGAATTCTGATAGATCAAATAATCTAAGCTCGAAATATCGAAGGTTTGCATTATCAGGTTGCTAAGTTATATAATGATTAAAAAATTTGATTTTGAGGCAAGTAATCAGCTCCTTTGTCAAGATAAATTAAGGAAATTTTAAATTATTTTTTATTAATTGAAAAAAATACTAAAAGTGATTTTATGATAAGATTAATAAAAATGTCTTACCGTTGTAAGCTGAGTTTTGGACTTTGATATAGGACATCAAGGGGGGCACGCCCAGGGTCTCAACGGCCGAGGTCGCGTTCAACAATCCTTTATATCGGCCTTGGCCGGCATTCAAGATCTCAATATGCTTCAAAACCGATCTAAAAAATCATAATATCAAAATTTCGTTTGTTTAAAGTGAATTCAAATTTTCCATGTTAATAACCAATAAAAATATAAAGCTTACTTCGAGAAAACTCCGTATGTGGTGTCCTCCGCGGTCAACCTCTTAGAGAAGGTTGGATATTCAAACCTCAACCCTCTCCAGTGTGCCGAGATAGCTCTGTTCTCCGGGTTATGGAACGGACTGCAACGGATCCCAAGGTTCGGATGATGATCACAAACTCCGCTCCCCATCTTTCTCCTCTCCCACATACAATCCTCAATCCGTCTCTCAAGCCCCAGACAACCTAAGAATTAGATATCAATGTTTTTCTTTCTTTAAACTGTTTTTTTCCATTTGCGGTTTCTCTGCGAAGTGACTTGACCATTTCTTGTTTATAAGAAGCGAAGGAGAAACCTACAGACATAAACAGAAAAACGACGGTATCTTCCACATTTTTTATCAGATCAAGGTTTCAAGGGTACCGTTGTAAATCGGACATTAAAATTAGATAAATACTCTGAGAACAAAATTAATCAAAAGCGAAAAGAAGTTGAACTAGGAACGGATAGATGAACTACGTCTCTATAACTTGATTAAATAACTCCAACCATTAAATAACTCCAACCATTAAATAACTCCAACCATTAAATAACTCCAACCATTAAATAACTCCAACCATGTTTTTATCCATTTTCTACTCGATTATTCTATCTAAAAATATTAACACTTTAGTATTATTAGGATCTTTGATTTTCTTATCCCTATATCTTTGCAACCCAGTGTCATAGACCTTTATATTTTAACCTATTAATTCTATTGCATCAAATAGATTAAGTTTAAAATATAAAAGTTTTATAATATCAGGTTGCAAAGATAAAGGTATTAGAAATTTTAGCTTGTGACAAAAATCAATTCCTTTACGAAATTTCCGAAATCCAACATTGCTCACCCTGCATTTTGTACAATCTACAATCTACATTATATCTGTTTTTAATATCGAGATATTGACAGGCTATTGAACCATACAACCTCAATATTTTACATTTTTCCCGGATTTACATAAAATTTTATTTTCAAGGTGCCTCGCGGCAATTTAAGCTCTGATGACCCGACCCTCCTATAAACAGCTTGTAACCGGCAATCAAATACAAAATTTACAACAACAAAAATTTGATTTGAACAAAGTACGCATTTGGCATCACAAGGAGGCTAAACTATTTTGACTATATATAATACTAAAACATGCGAACATTTTCTAAACCCCCCTAAGCCTTCTCAAAGGTACTGTCAATATAATTCAAAATGATCTCCCATTTAAAAACCTTAGTAAAAACAAAAAAAAGGTGAGCAAACGCATAAATAAAAGCGTTTGAAATTTTACTAACAAAAGCTTAAATCATTCCTATTTATATGGACCAATATTTGTTTAAGATTTTTAAAATTACTTTATAATCAACTTCCTTCCTGAGGAAGTAAAGACATACGGTTTGATTGAAATAATTAAGTTATATGCCTGTCGTGGCAAAATTTAAGGTTTTCAGCCTAGAAACCCATCTACCGAGACTTATATCAACCTTAAAGGAGAAATCTGAACTAACAAGAATTCAAAAAATTTCTTTTTAAAAAAATAAAAAATCAGAAAACCAAAACTTTGAAAAGTCAAAAGTTAAAGCTGTAGGACATTTCTATTTATTCATAGGAGGGAGGGGAGGGGGGCACACTTTATTAAACCCTCTAGCCCCCTCAGAATAGAACACAGTATTTATAACTGCATTCACATTAGAATCTTTTCGAGAAATGATAAATTTGACATTTTGAGAAATCAGACACTTTATTTCTAACTGAAAACCATTATACTTCGTGCCTTGGATCATTAATTATAGAAGTAAAGTTATATTTCTCATATTTTGGCAAGATGGCGTTTAAACTTTTCAAACCAATCGTTGGTCTGTGACAAATATAACATGACATATCTAATAACTTATCCATATCTTCACATAAATGATATTTTTATCACAATATTTGAATAATTGGTCAAATTTCTCTTTTGAAGCCAGTTTGTTTTTAATCTTGCCAAGATTACAATAGGAGTTTTAAATAATTCATTTAATATGTTTATCCTGTTCCTAACAAAACTGTAACCCAAATCCTGGTTCCATGGAACCTACTTTGACTAGTACCAAGATTTGTATATTACTAGCTGAAGTGCCCGGCGTTGCCCGTGGCATTAAAAATCGAATTAAAAAAAATTCAGATGAAATTTGTCCGTCCTACTCTAACTGTACCCGGAGCAAAGATGCCTTAAAGGTACCTGTATCCTGGTTAATCATACTCATATACCCCTAGTTGAACTCATATCCTGGTTTAATATGGTACTTACTAGCTCTCATTAGAACCCAGAGAATAGAAAATATATATTAAACAAGTATCTGGATCTTGACCCAGAGAATAGAAAATATATATTGAACAAGTATCTGGATCCTGGTTTAACCCTATTACAACCAGAGAATAGAAAATATATATTGTACAAGTATCTGGATCCTGGTTTAACCCTATTACAATTGAACATACCTGGATCTTGATAGAGCATGTTCCTTGTATTATTAAGATGATCGAACCAGTAATGCCACTCTCCACCTAAAAAAATCCATTATAATATCAGTTTTAACCATTAAAGGATTTGATTTTTCGCCCGAAACTTCAATTTTCTAATCCCTATATCTTGACAACCTGATATATCGTTAACCTTTGATTTTACAAACTATGAATTTTTTCTAAATCAAATTGTCGAAATTTTAAATATGAAAGGAGTATACTGGCATGTTGTTAAGATCAGAAAACTATTATTTTTAGTTTTGATCCAACTATTTACGTTTAAAAAGGACCGTTTGCAGAGTCAGCAAAGCCAAATTCACAGCGGTAATCTTAAAAGCTTTGTCTGACATCGGGCTGCAAAGATATAAGGATTCGAAAATTTGAATTTGTGGCAAAAACTCATTTCTTTCTAGTAAGGGAAAGGAGGATTGGTTGAAAGGTAAGGAAAGGAGGATTGGTTGAAAGGTAAGGAATGGTTGGATTAGATTCAGAATTAAGACTGAAAAACAAACAAGAGAGGAGAAAAGGGAAACCAGAGAAAACTCTGTCCCACCCCACTCCGCCCTTGATTCTTAATTGGAATTAAAGCTTCTGGATCCTTTCTCCTGGTCTAGATACAACACAGAGAGATCGCAGAGTTCAACCAGACCTAGAGAGCTAGATTCTCAGGCATAATCTAAATACTTCCTACCCTCCCCCCTCCACCCCAGGCATAGTTTCACTCAGTGTCATATGTGTCAAAATTAGTTTAAAACAAAAAATCAATTTCTAGAAATTCCCAGAAATATTCTCTTTGATTGAACTGAACTGTCATGTTAAATTAAGGTAAATATATAAGATTAAGATCTTATATATTTTCAAAAATAACTCTTTTTATCGAAGAGCTTTTGAGAAAAACTAAAAGGTTATAAAAAGTCTCATAAATTTTTTTAACAGGGTCGACTTTGAAGTGTCGCAATGCCTAGGACTTTGATTTACCGCTCTAACTCTGCTTTTCTGTAATTGACAAAATTCTAATAAATTTTTGTTTGGGAGCTTCAGACCTTCAAAGCACAGTGAGTTATATTACCTTGAAAACCTAACTGAGAACAGACCACCTTTAGGTCGACTGCTGTCCAGTTTCGGGAGTTTGTACAAACCGATCTCCATCTTCCTTTCTCGAGAATCTAAAAAAAATTTAATTGATAAGATATTATTTTAAAGGGACTGTTTGCGGGATTTCAACTGACCATCTGTGTATAGAGTGGAATTCCCTTATCACAACAGTACCTCTAAAACTCTATTTAAGTAACATTGAGAAATAAAGAAGTTGTGGAACTAACATCTACTTTATTTACTGTAAAGAGGTTTGGTTCCATCATCATCACCGTATTTTGAAGATATTGTCGTTTTTCTTGTTAAAATTTTTAAATTCGGGTCATTTTCTTCCTTGTCTCTGAAGTCTAGATCCGGAAGTTTCTTTAACAAAGGGTTTAAATCTAGGATTATTTTAAATTACGTTGATTTAAAATTTTGTTTTTAAGTCTCAGAATGTTTATCTTATTTTTTCTGTTTAAATGGACTGTAAGTGTAATTTCAAGTGACCCTCCATACAAAGATGACAATGCCCGATTTACAACGATACCCTTGAAAGCTTTTTCTGATCAAGTTTGAATTAGATATCAATGTTTTCGTTTCTTTAAACTGTTTATTTTCATTTGCGGTTTCTCTGCAAAAGTGACTTGCGCGCATTTCTTGCTCACAAGAAGAGGAGAAGAAACTCACAGAACGAGTCACATTTTTGATCGCCATCTTTACAGAGAGGGTAACTTGACATTATGCTATACAGTCTTCTTAAGGATCAAATCGAGGAAGGGGTTAAGGTAAATTTTAATGAATAAGTTATAGAAAGGGGGGGGGGCAAACTTAGATAAGGGTGTATGTTTCTAGTTTCAGATCATATCTCTGGGATATCCTGTCTGTAGGTAAATACACTTTACAGTCATACCATGATTCATTCAAATAAAAGATAAAACATTTATTACTTTACAAACAAATATAGCGATCTTTCAAACATTGTATGAACATTTTTCCAAATTATTTATTATAATGTCAAATAAAAAGTAAATCTTTTCACTGACCAGTATTTTTTTTGTTGGATTTTTAACTTTTTTGACAACTTAAAATGATTTAAACTAAACCGTAGAACGTAGTTATCATTATTATATTTATAAAAAAGGTTTAAAATTAATCCCTCGAAACTAACATATTCATACAATTTTTGTGACTCACTTTAATAGTAAAATGTGGTTGCAATAAAAAAGAAAAATCAGTGAGTCTACTCTGCGTGAAAAGGTTGGAGGGGCCTGAAACCAAAATTAACAATCCAATGAATCATGGAGAAACTGCTCAATGAGTGGAACTGCTGGAAACCTTTGTAAACCCTGAACAGTGAACACTATAAAAGCTACCGGTATCACATATATTACTTAGGATTTTAGCTATCTCTATCATTCTGTTTTAATTCTTGTATTTTGATAGGTATTTCTAAAACTTTTCTTAAATTCTATCTTGTCTTTTTTTTTCGTTAATTAAAGATGAATATCTAATCTAAAATTTTCAGTTTTTTTCATGAAAATTTTTATTTTTAATTCAGTTTTCTCTTTTAAATAATGACTTGCAGATTTATGCTACAGCTAGATAATAAAGGAAACTGTTAGAATTCAACACATTTTAACCTGTAGATGTTTTAAACTAAAAATCTTATCTTTTACAAATTAAACATTAAAACTCATTTTCGTTAAAAAAATATTAACACAAACTTTTAGGGGGCGATTACGAGAGCCCCCTCCTTTGATAGGCGAAAACAGTAGTTCTTGATGAAGGTGGGGGGGGGGATTCACTTTTCACTCCCCGTAATAGATAAAAATGGTAATTAATTAATTAATTACTTTATGTAAACGCAAATCTTAGATCTTAAAAATGATGTCTACTATGGTTGCACTGCAGCAACCAACGGTAACTGAGCCCCCCCCCCCCTGGAAAGATACAAAAGAGTTTGAACAAAATGTTGTAAACACCCCTGTAAGTTTATGTCTACCTGTATAATCCCTTCGTCTATACTCGGACCGTCCACCAGCCGAACCGTTCTATTTTCTTGTTTCCCCGGCTCATCAATAGATGTCAGGACGATCTTCTGATCAGCTGTTCCTTCAGCGGTCAGCTCACCCCGTACAGTGATACCTACGCCAGCTGCAAACCTGACAAGAATTTGATTTTAGAATATATTAAATTTATCTATTTATTGATTGATGTGATCGATTCAAAACGGTTCCCACTGCCCTTTAACCCTTTATGTGATCAAGAACTAAAATGTTACTAATGTCCACTCATTGAAAATTAAGCATTTTCAACTGTGATTTGCGGATTTTTACTACAGAAACGATTTTCAAGCTAAAAAAATGACGATATCTTCCAGCCACATTATTGATCAGATAAAGGTTTAGAGGGTACTATTGTCAATAAGACATCACTCTCTTTTATCAGAGGATTAATTGAAAAGAGTGCATGCTCATAAGCCATAAGCAGTCTCCAATAAATATACCTAATGTGCTTAGCAATGATTCTTAAGGATCTTCAATTTTTCTCTCAGTTATTACCTAACCATCAGTGCAGTGCTGTGTTAATTCAAATATTTTTAAAGTTGTGTAATTTGAAAACTCGTGATAATGTTATTGTTCAGTGTTAAAGGAATTGAGTTTTTGCCACAAGCTCAGATTTTCCAATCCATATTTCCTTTCAATCCAAAGTCGTTGACCTTTGATATTTCAAATTATGAATTCTGTAATTATCTGTAAATATTAATTATTTGATTGTCAACTAAACATTTAACATGGAATATACAAATTAGAAAATTTTAATCAATTATATTCCTATGTATACATATATCTAATAATTTGTATATTGCAGTTGAGTGCTGTATTTTTTTTTAAAAGGGAAAATTATTGCAAAGAAATATTTGTAATAATTTTTTAGAAAATACGCAATATGTGATGAAAAAATCTTGGAATTGTAGTTGTTCAAAGAATTGTAGCTACTGAGGATCGTCATGATAGACGTGAAACATTATGTTTAGTATAATTCTTTTTTTAATAAAAATGTGAAGTTAAAAACTGAAATATATATAT